CTCCCCGTGTTGGCAGTAGGAACAGACCTGGTGAGCAGCCAGCTGCTTGTTTATTGTCATGGAAAAAAAGACACAGCAGATGACTAATGTTTCAAGATATTAAATTGATTTCCACTTAAATTAATATATCATATTTCATGTGACAGATAAGAAGTGGCTCGTTACTGATAAAGTCAGGGAGAAAGCAGGTTTTTTAAGTTACTGCCTCGTGTTACAAGCTGTTGAACCACAGACTGTGTTTCACACAGGACCGTAGAGTCCTGCGCAGGTAATGCATCATGGTCTGAATCTGGTGTTTTTTTCTTTAGTCATTAAATAGTGATAAAGCCCACACATTTCCATCTGTGCTGGTATCAAATTGTTGGTTTGGTGCAATTGAAAGCCGGGTTTACACGAGTACATTTAAAAAGACATGAGCTCAAACTGCAGGTGGCTGGAATAAACCAGGCTATCCTTTGCAGTACAACACCGAGGAGCATTTTCTACATAAAAAATGTATTAATGGAAAGTTGACAGTTTTATTCTGTAACGGCTCATATAGTCTGACAAAGGTGGAACAAGTGAAATTATCCACGTTGTCTTCCTTCAGTGATTACAGTTCAATTTGAAAGAGAAAGCCATGTGATTATGTGCACCGCCCTTCTGTGCTCATGAAATTCATTGAATCTCTCATGCAAGAAAACGTATGCACTGGATGCTTCAGCTTTCAGGGAAGACTGATGTTTAAAGCACTCTGTGTAGCTGGATCGACTTCACAGACCTTTGTGTCCATTGCAGAGTAATAAGACTCTGAGAATGCCTCCTTAAGCAAGGAGCCTGAATATATTCAAGCTAAACAGAGATAAGGACAAAATTTATTGACTGCAATCAGTCAGTCCAGTGTCTCAGCAGGGCTGGAGCCTGTCCCGGGTGTCACTGAGCGAGTAACCCATTTTATTCATATTAGGAATCATTTTTTACGTAAAACAATAGCTTATCCTTATTTTGAAGAGCTAATGCTAACAAGCTTGATTAGCAAGCTGTGTTCATGAATTGTATATGAGCAAGCCACAAACGCCTGCTAATTAGCGCCGAGTTGTAAACCATCCTTCCTTCCAGGACTTCTGCTGTAATTTCTCCAGCATGCCCTGGGGTCTCCTCCAAGCTGGACATGTCTGAAACACATCACTGTATAAACACATCACTTTATGAACACATCACTTAATAATTCATTCACAGAGCAACAACTTGGGGTTCAGTGTGCTCACCCTCTGGCCAGGAGGAGCAACGCTCTTCCACCCCTGCTGGAGCCCCGCTGCTGACACCGTTCCCAGTGTGTGTAATAATAATCATTCACAGTTTATTTGGTGTGTCCTGCACCTCTGCAGGGAGGATTCATAAACTGGTCACTTAGTTAATGCAAAAACAATGTAAGTAGTGATACACGATGGCTAAAAAAAATAATCTCTGTTGGAGTAGTAGAGTAAAGCAGCAGCTTGTCACTGAGTCAGGCAGAAGGAGAACTAAAGGTTATGTGGTTTGTGTATAAGATCAAGTCACTGAACTGAAACACTCTACTGTGTTTGCACTGATGGTGCTTTCTGGAGCATTTTAATGAAATTATTTCACCATTCCTGTGGGCTACTGTGTGAAACAGACCATCCAAGAGGTTTGTGAGTCAGATTTAGTGAGTCGAATTATTGCATTTTATTATTCTGTTGGGGATGAGTTGGTACCCCGAGTATCACGGGGCCTTGTTCATGAATTGGGGGAAGAAGGAAGGAGAGACTAACTATGTGTTGGTTCGGCATCTGCACTGATGTGCTGATGCAACACTGGTCTGCTGTGGTGAAGAGCGGGCTGAGTGTGGAGGTGAAGCTGTCGATTTTTGTTCCTCACTCTCAGTTATGGTTATGAGCTCTCGCTAGTGACTGAAAGAAAGAGATCACAGACACAAGCGTCCATCCAGAACGTCTCCCTGGATTATGGGCGGTGTTATTGGAATGGAGATGGTGTTTCTGCCTCTAAAGTGTTTGTCAGTATGCAGGCTGAACCTTTCTCCTTCAGAACCCACACATCATTTAGCCTTTGATGCTACGCCGCGACATCAGAAATGATTTCAGTAAAGCACGAGATGAAAAGAGTTGCTTTTAATCACTTCAGTGTAAAAATGAATCACTTGGAAGAACAGGCAATAAAAAGAGCACTTGTCATAATTTCAGAATTGCTAAGAGCACTTTTCTTTGAAACATCTGATTTTTTTATTTATTTATATATCTGATTTAGCGTTATCCGACCTTTCAGAGGTTCTCTGGCTCTCTCGAGGCCTTAGCATTACACAAATCAATTTTATGTACACTTCAGATTTGAAAATTGATCACGCTTTCCATGAGATTTGAAAAATATATCACTGTGCATGTGTTTCTTTGCCCAGCTTATCACTGCAGCCAAAGTCATTTTAATGAGTCTTGTGAGGGGAGTGTGAGGGAGGAGGTCCTCTGGGAGAGATCCTGTGGGAAGCTTTATTGACTGTTACTGTGGAAAATAAAACCGCGGAGTTAAACGTACAGCCAAGCTTCACGTCTGTCTGTTAACCGAAATTAAAAGAGAAAATCTTTTTTACTCTGTTTACTCTCCTCTTTCTCTGGTGAATATACGCTCTGTTTCTAACCCTTATCTGCTCTTTTTCCCTTCTTCCCTTCACGATTCGCTGAACACAAACTTTATAATTCTCCCCGCCAGCTTGATTCTTGTGCGCTGGAAGGCAGAAGGTGTGCAGTGTCTGGCTGTCGAGCGCACTCCGAGACCATAAATCTCCAAACATATGAGAGGAGGCACACATAGTCTGTCAGCCTGTTCTCTGTGTTAAAAGACATGTGGGTGCATGTGTTTCGCCATTTTTTTTTAATTTAAATCAGAATCAGAAATCAGAATCAGAATACTTTATTGATCCCTGGGGGAAATTATTTTTTGTTACAGTGCTCCATTTTAAACCAACATTAAGACAAGACAGACAATACACTAACTAAGAATAGTACAATATATACATATATATACATACATACATACATAAGTCACTTATAAATAAATAGTTGGAAAAGAAACATGTGTAGTTGTAGCAGCAAACAGTGTGTTAAGTGGATGCGTTGTACAGGGAGATGGCCACAGGCAGGAATGATTTCCTGTGTCGTTCAGTGGTGCTTTTCGGTAATCTCAGTCTCTCACTGAACGAGCTCCTGTGACTGACCAGCATGTCATGGAGTGGGTGGGAGGTGTTATCCAACATTGTCTTTATCTTGGACAGCACCCGCCTCTCCGACACCACCTTGAGGGAGTCCAGCTCCATCCCCACAACATTGCTGGCCTTACGGATTAGTTTATTAAGTCTGTTGGCATCTGCGACCCTCAGCCTGCTCCCCCAGCATGCAACAGCATAGAGGATCGCACTGGCCACCACAGACTCATAGAAAATCCTCAGCATTTTCTGGCAGATGTTGAAGGACCTCAGTCGCCTCAAAAAATAGAGACGACTCTGGCCCTTCCTGTAAAGTGCTGTGGTGTTTTTAGCCCAGTCCAGTTTATTGTCAATGTGTACTCCAAGGTATTTATAGTCCTCCACAATGTCAACACTGACCCCCTGAATTGAAACAGGGGTCAAGTGTTTCCTGGTCTTCCTGAAGTCCACGATCAGTTCCTTGGTCTTTGCCACGTTGAGCTGCAGATGATTCTGCTCACACCACGTGACAAAGGAGTCGACCACAGCCCGGTACTCTGTCTCATCATCCCTGCTGATGCATCCAACCACCGCAGAGTCATCAGAAAACTTCTGAAGATGGCAGGTCTCTGTGCAGTGGCTGAAGTCTGTGGTGTAGAGGGTGAAGAGGAAGGGGGAGAGGACAGTCCCCTGTGGTGCCCCTGTGTTGCTGATCACCTTGTCAGACACACACTGTGGGAGACGTACATATTGTGGTCTTCCTGTCAGGTAATCAACAATCCAGGACACCAGAGAAGCATCCACTCTTGAAGGACTCTTGAAATGATATTAATGAAGAAAGAGCAAACCCCCAAGAGATAATTTAGTGGAGCAGACTGTAAGTGTGCATTTTATCCTCAGATTTGATGTCTTTTGACGTGATTGTTGGCGTTTCCTACATGTTTGCGCACACATGCGTGGCCCGCTGTAGCCTCCAGAAATCAAACAGCACCCATAGAGTGTTAGTGAGGACTAAGCAAAGAGCACGGATGCATAAGACAATTGGGGCTGGCTTCACGTGGCACTGTGGGAGCTCATTACTGTAGTCTTTGGGCTGGAAAATGTCTGTCAGTAAGGATTCATTAAAAGCCAACCTGCTGCAGGAGCTCCTGGTAGGGCTGTAATGAGAGGTCCTTCTCAATTTGGGCTTCCCAGTGGTTTCAGATTGGACAGGTGAAATATTAGCAGCAATCTGCATTACAGATAGAGGGGCTGTCCAGGCCAGAGTTTGGATTTGCTGGGGTCATTAGCATCACAATGCCCCAGTTGGCTCAGTTTTTTTAGGAGCATTTGAAACCACCAGGCTCTCGGGCACGTGCTCTGAGCCACCAGCAGAATATCATCCATTTATTTCATCTTCAGAAAGATTTCAGTCAGCACCAGCTGCTGCCTCCTACATATCAGAACATTTAGTGGAAACATTGTTTGAATAGTTTTTTGTGTCCCATTAACGCAGGCGGCCCTGAGTTTGACTCGTGGGTTTGTTTAACCTGGCTGTCTGAGCTGCTCTAATTTTAGGCTTCGGCTCACTTTGTTTTGAGTCTCTGTGCGTAGATGAAGACGTAAAGCTTCTTTGTCTGAGGTTAAATGTGTATATTTGTGCTAAAAGCAGGTTTTTACAGTCTCTTTTGTTTCTTTGCATTGATTTCCCGAGGCCAATTTTGTTTGCTTTCTGTTCTGCATGTGTTTTTGGTGTCAGCTCATTGATCGCTCTGCATCATCCGTGCTTTTATTTTTCTCTCCTGACTTCTCGACTTCTGTCTCGCAGACTCGCACGCCACGTGTGACACGACTCAGCCCGACACAGCCAGCTCTCGCTGACCAGGCCAGCAGGGTATCCTTCGCGTCAGCCGAAAATCTGGAGAACATGTCAGACCCTGATATTCCCATCGGCTTCAACAGGATGAACCGGCTCCGCCAGAGCCTGCCGCTGGCCCGCTCGTCCAGCCAGGCCAAGCTGCGGGCGCCAGGTCAGTCCGCTGTCTTTGAGTAAAATTGAAAAATTTCATATCTCTCATATTTAGATTGTGTCGAGGCCCATCTGTGATATCCACTCAGCAGAAATGACGAAAACGACTTGAACCCTTCTGATTCTGTGCAATAAATGAGATCATGTAGGGGTTAGACATGTGCACGTACAATCTGCTCACGGCGATGATGACTACAAACTTTCTACAATAAAATCCAAAGATGTTTCAGGAGATTGGAGCCTTCAATTATGCAGACAGCTTTTAGTTTCATTCAGCAAAATTTTTATTCAGACTAAAGTTTAAAATCTTGACATTTTAGGGTGTGGTTTTCCTTTTTCCTGTTTATTCATAAAGTCTCTGTAATGTTGTTTTAATAGTAAGTTATTTCAGTGGGAAAAAAACACCTCAGTTGTCATTTTAAACTCTGTGCGGGTGAAATCTGTTTCTCATTTCTTTGAACCACAAATGAGAAGTCGGGACAGGATTCATCTCCCAGTAATAACATTTACTTTTTTTTTTATGCAGTCACACTTTCAGACTTCTTTGGCTGATTGGTCAGAGATAACAAGCTTGTTACTCCAAGGATGGTTCCCACTGCTTCTCCAAACTCTGAGTTAAATTGCTGACTGCAGATTGATGATTACAAAGAAGTGATGCTTGAGAGAAAAACACTGTTACAAGTACTGATTTTTTTTTAATGTTAGCTCATTTTATTTGAGGCTTATTTTTTACTTCTAGACTAACTTTTGAGATTAAAAACCTTTATTTGTGCTGACATCTCTGCTGGTGGCCATTACTGAGACTCCTTTGATTAAAGGGGAGCTTTGCCAACAGCTCTTGGCTTGAATTTGCCCACTGCTGCACCCATTGGCTCAGTGAAATCCTCACACCAGAGAAAAATGTAGAGCAACTGACTCACAAGACATTTATCGATATCAATGCTCCCCCAAGATGTTTTTTTTCACCGCCCAGAAACTCTGACGCAGGTGTGATGTGATGATTGACCTTGTTTCCGAGTCATTGGCTCCAGCCCCAATAATGCTGGGAACCGGAGATCTTACAGCCGATGCAATGCAAGTGTAAAGCAGGACCAATGGAGTCAAGGGACTGTCCTACTATCTTTATTGAACTATATGAGGGTCTGAAGGTTAAGTCACATTTGGTGGTGCGCTCAAAGGCACAAGTCAGAACTACTGTGCCAAAATTCAGCAGTGTCTGTAGCTCAATCTTTAAAAAAATAGTGTGGTTTCACAGACTCGCACAGAAGGGCTGGGACTGGAGGGATGTTTGGCTGCCCACCTCTCATTAGAGAGTGATAACCCGAGCCTTCAGACATGCACTGCACCCCTGAAGCTTCGTAAATATTACCCAGGGGAGCTGAACGTGAGAATAGAAGTGTCAGACTCGGTTGGATCAAACATTAAACGGTGTTTAATGTTTGATCCAACCAGAGCTGGAGCTGGTTGGAGTACTGTGTGGTGTCTGAATGAGCACCTGTATGAATAGAACAAGTCATTATCCACAGAATTTATGACAAACAAGTGGGTATCGTGTGTCCTCGTGTACGCGCTACCCGAGCATATCCCTCTGCTAAAAGTATTTCCAGGAGTCACAAAAATGTGTGAAAATGTTTGTAAATGAGTCCCAAATCACCGTTAGCACTGGCTTTGATGTGTTCACTCAATTTCAACCCATCAACCCCATTCAACCCTTCTAAACTGTTGTAGTTTGAGCTTAGCATAAGCACATCCTGACCGAGCCACTGCACAGCTGTGGACACAACTTACCTTGACTTATGAAAAGTTTCTGACTACAGTTGGTTACTTGCACAGCAGCTTCCCCTCCCGAGATCCTCAAACAAACTACATGTCAGGTCCTTTTACATGTTTGACCTGTGAAACGCAAATTTTAGTGCTTTCGCTGCGGTTCGATACTGTTTTCTGATTCCCTTTAACATTTTATTCTCACCATTCGTCTCCACTTTCTTCCTGGTTATGTTTGGAGCTTGATATGAGAGTAAAGGTTGTCTGATTCCAGTCACTGATTCAAATCTGTCCACTGAGATTTCATTTCATCAGCAGTCAGCACAGCAGGCGGAGCTAATTGACTCTTATTTTCACTTCTTCTATCAGCCTTCATTTGTGGACGTGTATTGACAACCTCACTTTGATTGATACGTCGGGCGGCCATCACTCGCTTAATCTGATTTGATGTTTCTGACAGGCAGCCGTAAACAAGACACATTAGCTCTGTTCCTGTACGGCACTGTCCTCCTTCAGGTAATGTTTGAGTTGACTGAAGGCATCGAGTGTTAATCTAGTGAAGCTGGCAAGGCCCTCTGAGTGTCAAGTGAAAGTCAGACTTCAGTGCACTGCCTATAGGAGTGCTGAATATAAACAGAGCTGTCTAATGCCTCCAAATGATCTCGCCGAGTTACCTGTCGTCTTTGATTAATGGCCGTGGCAGCAAGCGAAACCATTTCCTCCTTAAAAGCATCTTTATAGCATTTGCAGGACACAGAAAATGTAGGACAAGCCAGAAAAATGTCAAGAGTTTCAAATGTTTTATACCACATAAACAGCATATTAAGATAAGCATCAACTCTCTGTGAAACGTTCTATCATTTCATTTCATGTTTGCTCTTCTTCATGCTTTACCAGGCGGTAGCGCAGGCGTCAGTTTTTTTTATATTATCCTCAATCGTGAGCTAAAACCCCAAACGTGTAAGTTGCCTCCATCCTTAGGGATATCTCACCATCACCTCCGCCCTTCAAAAGGTTTAAACTGTTCTCTAAAAATGAGCCTTTTACATTATAACACATCTGAGTCAGTGTTAATTGTACTTTCTGCACTTGGAGTCGGTGAGAATTTCACTGCGTCCACTCGGAATTCCAGCTTCCATTTAAAGTGAGGCTGATAATTATGTGTTGCTCTCTTCGCATTTCACAGCACAGCAGTGTGAGCCTTAGCTATAGTAGCCTCTTATTAGGTACATCAATACATTTCGTCAACTGTTCTGCCATCACATTCTTTTTTTATTGATCCACTTTCAGTTACATGTTTTATAACAGACATCACAATCTCAGAATGTAAAGGAACAAGAAGAACAAACCATTAGAAATATGTCGAAATGTAATGTTGTTTTTATCCCAGCACCACTGTAAACAGATATGTTCTTTAAGTGAGAAACTGCAAAATGAACAGGAGCTGGGGTGAAGGTGGGTTGCAAAGATGCTTGCATATCAACACCAAATGTGCACAGGCTGAAGCAGCTTGAATTATGGTCCATGTTTAAGCTACTCAATTGGATGTGCATATGGGCATCATCTGAACTGTCAGCTAATATTAGCTGGCACTGACATCAGCTGATCTACAGAGCTTATCCCAGCTGAAACAGGGCGAGAGGCGGGGTACACGCTGGACATATCGCCAGCCTGTTGCAGGGCAAACACAAAATAGACTAGTCTGAGCTCAATTTAATGGACAGTGTGCTTAAAAGAGCTGTTTGAACCCGTTTTTCAGCCATAGAATAGTATTTTTAAAAGCTGTTGAAATGTGTGTTTTCACACACACAAAGGCATCAGCACCTTTCCTTTCAAGTTAATGACCACACACCTGTGCAGGCTGGTTATGCCAAAGAAGTGCTGATTATTGACATCAAACTTGGCCAGTAGACCCGAAAGCATAGCTCACTGTTGAGTCTAAAAACCAAGTCATGACGTCTTGATGCTTAAATCCATCTTTTGCACTGGAAGACCCACAAATTAACCACCCAGCGTGTCACAGGCTGGGTCTCTGACCCAGCGCGCTGAGTGTAGTTGGTATTTGTCTTATGTTAGATTTGTGATGATGGTTCATGTGGTATTCTTATTTAGGTTTTAGTTGAGGTTAAAATCAGCCATTATGTATCATTGTCTCCTTGGTTTCTGTGTGTGGGTCCTCGTCTAGTCTCTCATATGTTTTAGGTCTGAGCTTGTATTGTCACATTTACGTCTCCGTGTTTCCTGTTTTATTTTGAAGGAGTCTTATGTTCTTTGTTCATTGTATTTAGTTTTACTTCCCCTGTCCTGTCATTAGGCTCATATCAGCCATGTGTTCCCACTTCCCCTGATCACCTCCCGTGTCCTCTGTTTTCTGTATGTCATTGTCAGGTCGTCTGTTATCGTCAGCACAGTCTTCATAGGTTTTTCCTCATAGCTCTCACTGTGTTTCACAGTAGCCTTCATTTACACAGTGTTCATTCTCATAGTGTCCATAGGTCTGTGAAGGTTCTCAGTCATCCAGGTCATCGTAGTCAAAGGAGCTTGCAAAGAAAAGCGTCTGGACTTCTTTAAGTTGCTTGAAGACGTTTCACCTCTCATCCGAGAAGCTTCTTCAGTTCTAAGGTCAAATGGCGGAGAGTCCCAGATGTAAACCCAGTGGGAGTATCCCCCCAAAGATGGACAAAAGGACCCCACCTTATCATGCGATTTCCTGGTGTGGGTGGGGCCAGTTTTCACAATGAGCTCACCCGAAACCCTGCCTGATTGGGACCCACACCCGTTTTCACACCTTGGCTCATGTGATTAGAGGATCATCAGGGGGTCCTTTATCCCTCTGTGGGGGGATCACTCCCACTGGGTTTACATCTGGGACTCTCCGCCATTTGACCTTAGAACTGAAGAAGCTTCTCGGATGAGAGATGAAACGTCTTCAAGCAACTTAAAGAAGTCCAGACGCTTTTCTTTGCAAGCTCCTTTGAATAGTGTCCATAGGTTTTTCTTAGTTATATATTTTACCACTGCTTACAGCCAAATAAAGGCTCGCCTTTTGTTAACTCCTCCAACTCCTCTCTGCATCCACTTCTGGGTCCTATAAATAAAACACACCGGCGCACCCCGCTGTGACACAGCGTTTCTTTTGCCCAGAAGCAAGAGCATCATTGGCAACATTGCTGGCAACATTAGATCTGCATCAGATTAACTTATCCTGGGTCAGTTATTACCACCGAAAAAAATCGCCTGTGTCTATACATTATGCACTTAATAAATTATCGTTGACCCTACGGGTTTTATTGTAAAACAAGTATGAAATGCCTTTGTGTTGCATTAAAAGGTCTCACAAAGTCTTGAATTTAATTTGGTAAACACTGCAGAAACCCTGACTAATGGTGAGCAGGAGGAACATTTACAATCTGACCACTGACATTTAGATCAATCTGCAGCACAGCATACAGGCCACGTATAATTAAACAGGAACTTAACACTAAAATTCATTAAATCATTTTGTGTAACATATCGATTTTGACCTCAGTCTTCAGTATTTATTCCAACTAATTTAGTTAATTGCCTTTTTTTAACAGTAAATTAAGCTGAACAAAGTAAAACATGTTGTACTCTCACCCTGCTCCCACATATGGGTTTCGTTGAGATGGAGAGCTTTAGATCGGAGGTGGTAACGAGGGAAGTGCCTGCTGTATAGACGGTAAGAGCAGCGCAAACGGAGGGATTATGCCAAGCAGTGTGCTTTCAGCTAAAATGGATGATTATTAGCTGCTTCTACACTGTTGAAAACTTTGAGGTGAAAATTGTTCGTACGCTCTCTGCCTTCATCACCGACTCCAAACTTCACCCCACCCCCATCTACCACTGTGAATCTCCCCCATTGCTCCTCCCCATCCATAAATGCAGGGATCTTGTTCCTCCAGCTTGGGGAGGAGACTCGCAGGGTTCACCTGACCCACGAGCTGACCAGCCTGGACACTCTGAGGGCCCTCATCGTGCACATGTTCCCCCAAAGGCTCACCATGGCCATGCTCAGGTAGGTCGACATCCACGAACGCAGGATATTAACACGTCTGCATGTTTATCGATCTGTTTAGATCTTTTACAAACGTTCTGCAGTGCAATATTTACACTTCATTTATGGCATGTTTTATAAATCAATCTCAAGGTCAGAGGCTGTCGGTGATTCATTTCAGCTCCATCCTCAACCAGCCACACATGAAAATTCATTTCTTTAAACAGATGGGGAATAAAAGCAGGAGAGGGCACTGAAAATGACGATGACTTATATTTTTCTTTAAATATCCTTTAAATGCCACATTTCATTTCCAAAAATGTCTAAAACAACCCTCAATTTAATGTTTTTGGTTAGCTTAGCTTGCTAATGCTGACTACTAATTTCTCTCCATGTAACCAGAGAACAACCCCAGAATTGAACTCATCATATATCATCATATTTTTGGTAAAAATGAGATATGTAGCTTTATCAGCTAGATTTAAATCAACCTTATTTTTGATCTATTTTCATTTTAATAACTTTTGATGGTGAAGTTCTACTAAAAAAATGTGAAAATATGTATTTTAAGACCAGAAATGATCACAGAGAATATTTAGTTTTTATATATGATTTAATAACCGTTTGAATATTTGAAAACCGTGACCATCATTAGCTTGTCGTGCTGCTCTTTTATCGCTATGTTCTTTAACCAGAAAGGAAACGGTTTGGCTACCATAAGCCATCTCTAATGGGTTTTGATGTGATGGTGGAAAGTGAGCAGACTGTAAAAAGTCAACGGTCCTTGTGTTAATCTTGTGTCCATCCACACATTTTGCAGAATTACTTAAATAAAACGACGCGATTCTGCACCAAGATCTAAAGGATTCTTCTATTTTTCATGTTAAGCCACTAAGTTTGATAAATTCAGCCTATTTTTTTTATCAACTCTTGTCTTGGTTGCAGCAAATACATATAAATAAAAATCTCATGTGGTGTCTTTGGTTTGAAAGTTGCACTGCTGACCAACACCAATAAGCTGCCCATTCATTTAATCTTAGCTGCAATATGTTTTTGAACACGTGTGCGTTCAGGACAAAGAACTGGGTCAAAAACATCAATAATCATTTTCATTAAGTTCTAAATTTTTGTTTCTCTCTAGAATCTCCCATGTTAGTTATCCACAGCACTTTTTTACCTTTAAACACTGAACATTAGATTTCTGATTAACCTAATATCAGTCCGCTTCCAGCTGATTCTCTCATTACGAGCACCTCATGCAGTTAGAAATCCTCCTCCCACTCTCCAAGTGAACGTACATCACTGTATCATATTAGTGTGTAACAGATGCTGAAATTGTCTTTGCATGGACTGTTTATCAGTGTTTGCGTCTTTTTTTGTGTGTGCGTTGACAACTATTGATATTCAGGTCTCCCAGCACAGCTCTGTTGATTAAAGATGAGACCCGTAATGTCTTCTATGAGCTGGAGGACCCACGGGACGTTCAGGACCGCTGCGTAATTAAGATTTACTGCAAAGAGCCCATCTACAGCACCTACCCTGGACATCACAACCCACACCTGGCAAACGGAGACCTGCGGGTAAGTGTGAGTCTGCGTGCACACAAACGCCTGGAGGAAAGAGACAAATAAGCCTTGGTGTTCAAAACACAGAGAAAGAGGGTTAAACGCTACAGGTGCATTCATGAACAGCTTCTCCCATTTTTCTCCTTCTCTCTGGCCGTGAGGACTGCGTGTGTCTACAGAACTAAAAGAATAAACTTCGCCAAGGTCAAACACTCATGTTTTTTACTTCTCAGCTGTTTTTAAGCCGCCAGGTGAGAGGCCGGGTGGGCAGCGTGGACACCCAAGTTTGTGAAGGCGATAACTCAAGAACGAGGCGACATCAGAGTTTCATATTCATATCATCGGTATACCTACTAAAAATCTTGGATCACTTTGGGTCTGGCGAGGTGTTGTAAAATTTTGAAGTTGATAGCGGATAGCATAAGTGTTTCTACCATGTGGCCGCCAGTACTTTTATTATTTATTGTTCATTTAGATGAGGAGATTTTTAATGCTGGATTTTCTGCTTCCCTTTAGGGTTAGAAATATGATAAACATTCATGGGTAGAGAATATTTCTGCTATTTAAAATTGCAAAACACCAGTAGACCAGGAGGTTGAACAAAGCCCTAAACCAAAAGAAATATGGAGTTTGGAAATTTGCCTTTAAACGTCTTTAGAAATACAGTATCCTACTTTAATAATCAGTTCTCTGTTTAAGTGTTTTACCAAAATGCAAAGTAAGGGCAGAAGATGATCCCTTTTCTTCATTGCAGACTCAAACTCTGTGCAGTCCTGTCATAAATAATGTTTCATAATTCCCTTTGAAAACTCTTATTCATATACTCTCACGCCCACATCAATCTCCCATGAAACACTGATTTTATATCTTTTTACACATGCTAGTTTGCATTACACAATGTGTTCAGGCTTAAGTTAGTTTCATTCACTCGTCGAGAGTGAGTCATGTGACTTTTTCCCAACACTGAGCCTGGACGAGCGCCAGTCTTTCACATCTCCCGTGCTGAGTGGGCTGCATGCCAGCAGACTGCAAAACTGCAGAAACACTTCTCTGAGATGACACTCGTACTCCAGTTCGTCTGAGGACTGACTCGTGGATGCAGTCTTTTAATTGCTGAAGCTGAGGTATTATTTCCCTAACTTCAAATGAAAACAGTTCCCACCGACTCACCATATGCACATGCAAGCTAGTGCTGTTCAAATAGACCAGAGAGCCAAACTACCATTACAGCCAGATTAAATATGGCATTGCTTCCACAGGAGAGCAAATGAATGCAGTGTATTTCAACCTAAACACGTCTAGGAAATAAATAATAACAATATTAATAGAAGTTCTGCTTTGGGAAACATGGGAAAAATCTCCCCAGTAGTCAATCATTCAGTCAGAACTGTTAACATTTCAAGATTTAGGGATTTCTGGGATTCTGAGGGGATCAGTCTGGGAACCCATCATCTAGTCTGCTGGCTTGGCCTTTTGATGCTTTCTTTCAAGGCTTTTTGGGTGGCCAGCAGTTATCTGGAGGGACACTTCCTGTTGTGTCCACAAGTTTAATGGATTTAAAAAGCTAAAATCTTCCCAAACAATAGCCATTTTTTTTTACACTAAACACTATTAATAGCCGTTAGACTACAAATTGAAAGCATAATGCTAATAATCTTGTCCTTTATCCAAAGATAATGAACATCTATGCACAGATACCTCTTTGGAGCGATTCATTTTGACTCATTTTTAGATCTTCCAGAGTATAAAAGATGAACATACCTTACAGGTTTGAAAGGTGAAGCCTTGATACCTGAATCCTTCAGGAGGAGCAGACTCATCTGGTGGCAAAATAAGTTCTGATTGTGAAGAAGTCCTTCGAATGTCCTTTTTTTCCCTGATGAGTTTATGGAATCAGTCACTAGATTCAAGCATAAGCAAGTATTTTGGAGACGTTGGGAAGGAAAAACTCCCTTTTTTGCAGGAAGAAACCTCTGGCAGAAGCTTGGGATGTGCAGCCCTCTGCGAGGGGAGGAAGACAGTACAAAGACTGAGATTCAGTAATGAAATATGAAGTTCATTTTGTAAATTTTGATCAATGTTTGAGTAATAAAGGAGGCTGATGCTTGGTTAGGGTTTGTGTTAATGACTGGTCAATCACAAGTCATTAACCAAAGTGTCCCTCGGTTTCTCAGAGAGGTCTCAGTTTTCATTGTGCTATAAAACTACTGGTGTATTAAAATGTACTTATCAACCCATCTTTATTTGAGCTGATGATCAGCCGCCTGTAAATCACATCCTCCTGTCCAGCAGCCACAGTGGGATTTATTTTAACACATCAATCAGTTTCTGGCAACATAAATGTGGCATCTGCTTCATTAGCATGATTACTAATGCTTCATGCATTTTGTTACAGCAGGAGCAAAGCAAACCTTTGCATGTCATTCACTTTTCGCAGCGTTGGCATTTTCAGCACAAAACCCCGAATGCATTTTGTTGCCTCCTAATTACAGTGTGATTATGGAAATGAGGATCTGCAATTTAAAGTGTTAGAGAACGCTCCTTTTATAGGATAAAGCAAATGATGAACTAGATAAATTACATTACAGGAAGGCAGACATATGCAGCGCACATGCTGTGAAAAACGAATCTACGTATTTAACAGCTGAAGTGAGGCGAGTGCCGTCGGCAGCGGCGTGTTTTCTGACACATTTCGGTGTTTCAGTTTGCTGTCTATGAAACATCCTGGGGCTTTTTGTTTGCGTGTCTGCATGCGATTGGTTTACTGTCTGCCTGTGTGCGTGATTTGCAGCTGCCCGCTAATGCGCTGGAGGTCAGCTGTTCCCAAGGGATTGTTCCCCGTCTTCAGCTCTGAAATCTTCGTAGCGTTTTACAGTCTTATCAAACCAGCAGGCTTACCTTGAGCTGGATGTGTGTGAGGTGCATTGTCAAGGTGAGGACGAGGACGTGTGTGTGTATGTGTGAGCTTATTGAACTCTTGCCAGCATAGCCAAAGATCACTCCCTGATTGCAGGCCACAAAAGCATGACGAGGATTACTGAAGCCGGACTGTGTGACTGGAGGACAGAATGAAGAGGAGATTGATTGGTAGATTTCCCACAGTGGGAGAACGGGCAGTTTTGAATGGCACAGTGGGATGAAGCTTTCAGGAGCGCACCTGCGATAGGCGTCTTGCGACTTTAGGGGGTGGAATGAAATGTCTGCATGTCTTCGGCGCACTTAAAGGATGGTGTCGATACGAGGCTGTTGCTAAGATACAAGATGGAAGATGATGGCCCCAGAGTGCTGCGAGGCTGTCCACTGGGTGTTGTTAGAAAAGACCCGAGGGTTATTATGTGGAAATATTGGCTTTTCAATTTGCATCATCTCCAGGAGAGATAGCTCTGTGCGTCACAAGCAATTACAGCGTCGTCTTCTTTTGTGCTTCTTTGCCGTATCTATTACTCTTCTGTCTGGTCGCCTTCAAAGCACGGCTTTTACTCACACCCTCCGCTCCCCGCTTTGTTTTGTCTTTCAATCTGACATGTGGGTCTGATGCCAAAAGATTATCCCTTCATGCACAGCCTGTCAATAAAGCATCAAGTGCAACTTAAACTGCACTCAGAGGGGCAATTTAGAGTCCTTCCTGTCAATCAGGAAGTGGCATCTATGAACTACTGGCTGTTACAGTAAGTTGCCCTTTTTTAAAAGAAATAGCTAGTTGTCAAGCTGATTGTTGAATTTCTGAAAAGTCAAAAACTGACAGACGTTATGGGTAAAGCATTCTAGTATCATTGTGAAATCTCTGCCTCTCCTTAACTGTGTTCAACCACAGTGAGAACAAATTGTATCCCTTCCCCAAAGTGATTAATGCCACCAGTGAAATCAGACTTGGACGTTCAGTCGCTGCTCTTCTGATGGTGCAGCTAAAACCATATACAGTGTGTGATCCTTTTCCAAATCTACCCTAATACCTGCCATCAATAGATCTCTTTAGCTTGAAAACTGCCTCAAAAACTTCTGAATTGCAGACAAGAGGTTACCTCCTTTTCCCGTCCAGAGATTTGGAGAGATGTGGATAAAAGAGAGGTGACATGCTGCAGAATATGTAATGTCTTTTATATAATAACAGTGTGATGACGTGCTATAATCATCAAGTCTTCTTCATTTTAATGCTGAACTCCGCAACAACTAGCTCGCTTTCTCTGGATGCTTTTATAACATGATTTGATTGGCCTGCAGCAGCTAAATAACATTTAATCTTCTGTGTTGTGTTTGATTGAATCCACTGTGTACAAGCGCAAAACACGAGATTAAGAATATTTTGTGAATGAACTGATTAATCTCATTAGAGAGTCAGGAGTCAAGTTTAGGTTCTAAACTTGTTTAGTTTGAATTCATGATTATTATATGAAGTTACCCTAACAGAAGCAATAAATAATAAATATAATAGCACTCTTCATGGCCTGTAGGTCCATTATGGTTGCTGCGTTTCATTATTCATGAATGTGAAAATTTTTAATCTCCCCGGCTCAACATCAAATTCCTTTTTTCCTCCACAAATCGCACTTTTAGTATAACTTTAAATTTTAAACTGTTACTTTAATGATATTTCTAAAGAATCTTGTTATTGGATTTGAACAAGTCGTTTCAGACCTCAGAGCTCCATCGAATTATTAATACTGTAACTATAATGATATTCAGCTAGGTGACGGACACCATCCTCAGTTTCACTTTCTATTTAAACCTCACTTCCAGGCCCATGACAGCTGTTGTGGGATTGGAAGTGTGGACTAGAGATAAGATGGGGAAAGGACATAAAATCAGTAAAGCACTGATTCAGTCTGTTAACAGACTCACAATCTGTCCAACAACCTGTGAGATTGCAGCAACTTCCACCAAAGAGTTTGTGACTATTTTGCCTGTTCATGTTCAGTAACACCACGTCTCTGAGTTCTCTCTATGCACCACCTCACTCATGCAGACTCCCAACATGTGACGTGGTATCTCTTCCCTTTGACTGGGTAAGAATGGATAAATGGCTTCAATCTCATAATGTCATTTACCAATAAACCATTTTCTTTAGTTGGTGAGTCAACATTGGCGAGCCTCCCATGTGGCTTGAACAAAAATGAATATAGATCATTTGGTTTAGCTGCGTGACAAATCCCTCTTAGCCCTATCCAAACACTTAATGTACATTGCCTATATTATGAACACATCTTAGTATTCAATGACTTTGCTAATGATCTAAAAGCACAGTTGCTGACTTGTTTAGCAAAATTTACTGTGAACAAAAACAGTGGAGCCGCTATGATTTACACAGGCCAAAAGAGTTGACCTTTATTTTTGCCACTGTAATGTTATCCAGGTCTGATTCACTGAGGCAGCGGTCTAAATAAAGATGCCCAGACCGACCTTCTCGCCTCCAGCTCATCTGGGGGGATGCTGAATCATTCTCAGGCAAACCAACTGACATAATTGTCTCTAGTATATCCTGGGTCTGCCCTGGGGTCTCCTTTTAGTTAGATATGCCTCAAGGAGGCCTTCTAGTCAGATATGTGAATAACCTCAAATGACTCCTTTTGATGCAAAAAAAGCAGCAGGTCTACTCTAAACCCCTCTTGAGTTGCTGACCTCCTCACCCTGTCTCTGTAATTCTAGATCTCGTTTGGAGGGAGGTCATTTCCACCACTTATATCATTGATCTTAGTCTTTTAGAGACTACTTTCAATTCATGGCAATAGGTGAGAGTGAGTCGACTAGTAAATTTACTTGCAGTGGTTCTAAAGCACCCCCAAAAGGATTCCCCAAGGTTCCACACAGTCAAAAGCCTTCTGCAAGTTTAACAACCACTTGTGGACTTGTTGGCAAAAACTCCCACACGCCTTTGAATTTTCATGAGAGTGTAAAGAATAGATGCTCAACAAAGCCCACGATGTTCTTCCCAAATTATACTTTTGACTTGTGGGCAAACTTTCCAGCACCCTGTACTGATCTGTACTCGATGGACATGTGCTATGTATCCAGGAATAACAGTTATGTTCTTTGTTTGTAGAGGGAGATGGTGTATGCACCCCAGGACTCTCCACCCAACCGCCGCCTGAGCAATCCACCGATGTCTTCCCAGCATTCATCTTCCTCTGCTTCCCCTCCCCAAGGCTCACCCTCCCGTGCTCGTCTACTTTACAGTGGCGGAAGGCCTTCTTCCTATGCCGGGCCACACCACCACACCCACTCCCTGCCTCACCCTCACTCCCAGTCCCACCACTCCTCTCCCCACCAGCAGCCCCAGCTCCACCAGCCCCACCAGCCCCACCACCCCCAGCCGGCCTTCTGCGCCTCCTCCAGTGCCATACTTGAGCGCAGGGACGTGAAGCCCGACGATGAAATGGGGGGATCCCGAAGCATGGTGCTGCTGAGGGGGGATGATCGTGGTGGGGGCGGGATTTACGCAGACCCCTACACTCTGGGTCCAGATCCAAGTCGGCTTAGCCTCGCAGGGGGTCCTCACTCTCCTTTGCCAGCAAGAGCCGACCCATACGGCTCCTTATACCGCCGTGGTGGAGGTGGGGGTGGTGGAGGTGCTGCATCAGTGCGTTCACTCACCTCCTATTCAGCAGCTGCACTACAAGGAGAACTGATGGAAAACAGCGCTCTCTACAGGGCCGGAGGACCTCTTTATAACGATGCCTATGCTGCGTCTCTGTTGGCCATGGGGTTGCGGGTGCCTCCACCCTCCTCCCCGCAGAAGATACCTGACATGAGAGATTCCTATGGAGCAACCATGCCCAATCGGGGTTCTCCAGGGAGACAGAATTTGCGAAGAGACTCTGTGACCTCTTCGGTGTTTGGGGAAAGTCCCAAAGCCCGGGGTCAGGGACCAGGACTGGGTCTCACCTCAGAGCAGCTGTGCCTGTTGGCTGGTGCCGGAGGGGATGGAGGTGGACCTGGAAGCTTCGGCTCACCTCTGCTGGGGAATGAGACAGAAACCAGGTACTTATCATTTTTTATTAATTGCTGGCAATTCATATGTGTATGTGTGGAGGATGTCTACTTTGTTTTCCTATGGTAATGTTAACAGACTTCATGAGTGATTTTGATAATTTTGCCATTAAAACTAGAAATTACTCGCACCTTACCAACAACCAGTTTGTGCTCAGAGCTTGGTGATCTTGCATCTCTTCTAATATGAGAATGTCAGTACTGTTTATCACTGGTAGATGTGCAAATTTATGAATTACTCCCCAGCTGCTTTATTCTTATGGTAGAGATTAGTGATCCTGAGAAGCTTACATAGAGAAACACGTGAGATGGCAGGTGAATCACAGGCAAAGATGAGGACTTCAGGGATATCTGCTTATGTACAGTTTTAAGCAAGCGCACAAGCAAGAAATTAGATATATATGAAGACAAATCGTATACAACAGTTATGACCAATCTTAAGTACTATAAAATTTGTACAGTTTAGCAGAACTGATCAATATTAAAAATATGATTAAAAAAATTATGCTACTATCATAGTTATGTAGTGGTGGCAATGTGTTTTTAAAAAAAATGGATGCAGATATTTAGTTTTGTTCTAAAGCCTCAATTGTGGCATATTGCCCACTGCCATGTTTGTTTGTTTGTTTTGAAGTGATGAGAGTTTGATGGTGATATAATTTTATTTGCTAACATCAGCTAGCTTGGCTAGCAAGCTGCATCTTTAACTGTACGAGTGCAATGCAGAGAGACCTATATCTGCCATTTAGTGATAGTTTATAAACTAATGAAGTACTAGAATTGTATTTACTTCACAAAATGAAAGCACACACTTCTTAAATGTTCTGGTTTAGTGTAGAGCTCCCAGTGACGACACAAGTGTTGCTCAAAGTGGCCACGCCTCTAATTTCAAGTCTTAAAATACAAAAGGGCATGCTAAAGCAATGCATCCATATTGCAGTTGTTATAATGTAGCAAACTATACTTAGAGACCAGAACCATTTTTGTAGCATTTAGCACGAGAGTCTGTGGCAAATGATTCACTTTGGAGCCAGCTTCATGTGCCATTGGCATGCGACACTTATTTGCTTTTTCAGTCCTGATAGCTGCTGTTTAAGCAAAAGTAGATTTATTTTTATGTGAGGAGGTAATTTCATTGATTTCATAACACAAAAAACTCAAAAGTAATTACACTTGACTTTACATTTTAAATGAGGACTAAAAACTGAGAAACCTTTTAAGTTATGTTTTATGTAAAATGTGTATGAAACATCTGTTAGCCACCATTTCTGTGCATCTTTGAATCCAGGGAGCGTATGGAGGCGATGGAGAAGCAGATAGCCAGCCTGACCGGGCTGCTGCAGAGAGTACTGAGCAAAGCGCCTGAGGCAGAAAGCCCGTAAGACACACACACACACACACACACACACACACACACACGCAACAAACATGCATAGAAATTCTGTGAAAACACTTCATTTATACACACAAACACAGACACACGTTTGTCTGAAGCGAACAAATCCATTTTGTAGTTGTTACCTAGTGTACGATTTGTTCTTACACTTCTTTTGAACTAATCCAAAGCCCATTTACAGATCCATTCCTTACACACTGCCCTGAAAACTTGGAAATACAGAAAAGTACATGAAGTACGACCTACCCACATCCATAAAAAGTCTGATAAGAATTCAGTTCAGTTGATAATGTGTTAGAAAATATCACATTTACAACATTTGTAGACTGCTGGGAGATTTGCAGCGTGCAGTTTTAGCATTCAGGCTTAAAGTTTTATGTGATCGAAGTTTGTAAGATATTAATTAAGTGGACAGAAACATATTGTTAGTGTGATAAAGGCTTTTTAACAGGCTTTACACGGCAGGCTGTGGCTGAGAGGGAATGTCAGGATGCTTCTTCATCAGAGGGTCAGGGGTTTGAGTCTTGGCTCTTCCTATCAGCATGTTGAAGTGTCCTTGGGGAAAACTTTGAATTCTTCATTCGGGTACTCCCTTTAGGGCTCACCACAGCAGATCTCTATCATCCTCCTCTGCTACACCAAACCTCTGCATGTCCTTCTTCATCACACCCATGAACCTCCTTTCAGGCCTCTTCTCCTCCTGCCTGGCAGCTCCATCTTCAGCGTCCTTTGTCCAATATATTCACTATCCCTCCTCTGCACATGTCCAAACCATCTCAGCCATGGCTCTCTAATTTTGTCTCCAAACTGCTCAACCTGAGCTCACCCTTGACAATCACCTCCACCCACTCCTCCCCGCCTGCACTCTCTTCTTCACCTCTCTTTTGCACTTGCTTTGGATGTTTGACCCCAGCTTTTTAAACCCATCTACCTTCACAACCTCTGATATTTATAGTTTCATTGTTACACCTGTCTCGCTCTCAGTCACACGCATGAATTTATTCTACTTCTACTGACGTTCATTCTTCTTCTCTCCAGAGCATACCTCCACCTCTCCAAGCTTTCTTCCACCTGATAAAAATGTCTGCAAACATCATAGTACACAGAGACTCCTGCATGACCTCATTGATCAGCCTGTCCATCACCACAGCAAACAGCTGATCCCTGATGTAATCCCATCCCCACTTTGAATCCGAGTCGCTTCAACTACACCCCTCACCTTTGTGTTGCTGTCCTCATAAATTTCCTACACCAGCCTGACATACTTCTCTGCCGCTCCTGAAAGTCAGTACCAGTACCAGTACACTTCCCCTCCATTCTTCAGGGGTCTTGTGTTAAACATTCAGGATTAAAAAAAGCCCACTAGAGAGCTCAATACTTCCTAAACTCCAGTCATGCATCAGTCAGTGTTCCCATGACTGATAAAAACAATTTAAGGCAAAGTGGTGTGTGTGCATGCAAAAGTGCAGCACTTTCTAAGTACCAGGCCAAGCTGTGAGAGAAACAGGGAAAGACTTATCATTGCATGTTTTGGTTATGTCGAGTTGTTTGACCAGAGTTTGTGGTGAAGTCAAAAACTTTTGCAAAGATCCAGAGAAAAGCTGTTTGTCACCAACATGAAACACCTCCAAACTGCTGACCTTTTGCCGTGAGCTTCCTCCCTGCTGTAGCAGCCAGCGCACTGCTGATGTGCTGATGAAGTTAATTCAGTTCACCCCGGGGCCACCGATACCCACTCGAGCTCTCTGAGTAGGATCGGGTTGATATTCGATCCAAATGTTGGAGCCGAGCATCCTTAATTAAGTCCTTTAATTTGTCTTTCAGGGATTTTGTATTAACAGATGAGATTGGATGGATATATTTGGTATTACTGGAGCCAGAGACATGCTGACAGATGCTGTTTTTTGGTTGTGTGTTTCTTGGTGTGTGTGTTTCTGGGAGGCATTAGAGACTCCGCAGGATAGCATTTGGAAGCCCCGGGAAGCCTCAGATTTGCTGTACCCCAACATCATTAAAACATAAGACAAATTTAAACACTGTGGGAAAATAGAAGAAGGGCAGGTTACAATCCAAGTACTGTTTATGAAACTGAAGAGAAACTGTTTTTGATTCTGTGTTGTGCACTTTATTGCAATGTCATATTAAAGAAAATGAAGCTGCTGGCTGGAACCTTAAAGGCGAGAAGCCCTACTGATGCTTTTAGTTTGTAGCAGCCAGGATTCCTGTGTCCTGAACCTCCCACATTTCTTTTGAGTCACTATTGTGGGTGTTCATTTCAACATCCAAAAACCAGGGAAACCTTTTAATAAATGCATATATTTAATAAATAACTGCAGGCCTTATCATCTCTGTTGGTTTTCCGCCTTTTTTCTGGTTGTTATGATGTGGAAAAAGCTTTAAAATTCATATGTGTTTTGCTTCAGCTGAGGAAGAAAAAATGTAAATTTATGTTAAACAGCGATCTTCCCACTACGGTAGATCATGTAGGGAATAGTGAAGGAGCGAGGGAAAAAATCCCGACTACAGCAGCACGCACACTACATTCACACATTTTCCACCATATATCAATAGCTTCTCAGTAGCTCAGTCGATAGTGTGTTCTGGCTGTAAGTACTTTAACACTTGCCTCTTCCAGGGAGAAGATTGAGTCAGCCAGTGACTGCTCAGGAACTGACAGTAAGTGCTCACTACCAAAAAAAAAGAAAGAAAAGGAGACAAAGTATTTCCTATCACTGCCTGTCACTGTTTCACACTGCTGCCTGTTTGATAGCCACATAAATTAGCTCTTTTTCCTCACACAGAGCTGCTGCTATTTCATTTTCTCTGCATAATTCTTAAGGAGCCTCATATGTGATTGTAATGGCTGATTCTGCAAGCTTCCTCATACTGTACTGTACTGTACACGCTGGCTTTTGCTGCTCTGTAACTGGTGCCCATGCTTCTTGTTTTAGCTGGACGAACTATAAAAAAGAAAGGTAGCTACTGTATGTGTTCCTGAAGTGTCTGGTACCCCCCGTCTCACCCCTTCCCTGTTTTTATCTGGAGTCCCATGAGTTCCTAGTACATGTATACATGTCATTTTGAAGGATCTGCCTCTCTGACACCTTGTGTCCTTCACTTTCCCCTTTGTTCTATGGAGGGCCTAAACTGCCAAAATTAGAAATGATTAAATAAACAAATAAATAAAACTGGCTTAATAAAATTTAAAATATGTGATATTTCTGTTTTATTTGCATTTGCATAACATGTTTTTTCGTTAGTTCACCTTTTTATTTGCTCTTCATAACCTCAGGAGACTTTTATACCTGACTATCAGTTTACTGATGAATTTAACTCGGACTGCCAATGCCAAGCACATTGAGTAGCTAAGTAATAGCCAGCTGGGTAACTGCCCCCTGTTAGTTTGTATTATACAAAGCAAATGTTAAGTATACAATCATCAGCCACTTTTTTAGGGACAGCTGCTCATTAGGGCAAAATATCAGCCAATCATGTGGCAGGAACTCATTTAGGGATGTACATATGGTCACATGGAACAACCTCCTGAAGTTCAAACTAATCATCAGGCAATTTAAGTGACTTTTAAGGTTGTAAGGTTGTTGGTACCAGACAGGCTCTCTGAGAGAAACTGCAGATGTACTGGGAGTTTCACAAACCCACCTGTAGGACTTACAGAGAATGTCTGAAGAAAGAAAATATCTATTGAGCTGGCAGAATAAGGTGTCTTCTCTCAGAAAATGCTTTGTTGATGGTAGTGGTCATAAGAGAATAGCCAGACTTCTTCAGGTTAATAAGACACTTTAACACACTATAAGTAAGACATGAAGCGCAGTGTCTCTGAATGCACCGTCATGGGAGCCACTTCGCGGTGCCGTAATGGCATAAGGAGGGTTTTCTTAGAAGACTTTGGGCTGCACTCCATCAATCGAATACGTTTCTGTTGTCAATCATAATTTTAACCTCACGCCTAAAATACTATTTATATGATAATCCAGACATATTACTCGTTGCAGTAGCTGACTAACCTTAGCTCGCTTGCTCACTAAGTTGTCACTGGCAGACTTTTGAATTATCTGATGATATGATGATTGGCTCAGAGAATATTTTAATTCCTGTCATCCATTCTACCATCAGACAACAGATGGATCCAAATTCAACCTCACGACACTTTTTCAAATGACAGTTGTGCTCAAATGTTGCATGGAAACAGAGATGAAGAAAGAAGCCAGGGAATACATCTGGAAAATTATAATTAAATGATTCGTAAAACTGTCTATAAAAAAATAAAATGTATATTTAAAAAACAGAATCAAATAGGAAAAACAATATGTGTGTGTGGGTATAACATATCAACTACAATAAAAAAAATTTCTTTAGTGGATTATTCCTTACATTATGCACATTTTTAAACTTGAGCCATTTATTTTTTTTCTTTATTGCATTGTAATTTTGGCAGTTTTGGTCCTCCATAGTTTCCTGTGTTTTTGAGTGAGAAATCGCTGAGTTGCATTAAATTGGACACGACAAACTCTTTGCTTTGTCAAAGTTTTTCCCTTCAGCTTTTCAACTAAGGATGAATTTGCAGGCGATCAAAAGAGTTTGATGTTTGAACGTTTGTGCGTCAGAAAATTAGCTGCTTGTGGGAAACGCGGAAACATCTTTAGAAACATTGATTTCTTCACATAAAGTGTTCAGTTTTAGCCTTCTTTTTTCCTATTAAGGATCTAAAAAGATGATATTTTGCAATTTCAATTCATATCTTATTTCATCGTAAATTACAGATAAGTCTGGATGTTCTGAGTCCCTTGCGACTTGAATTAGACTCTTCTGAAGAGTCGTTTTAGTTGTGATTTTTATATTTTAACTTCTCCCATTCACTCCAGCTGCTCCTTTTTTCTCCTGTCAGATTTTTATCTGCGTGTCTCACTGAATGATAAAAGTTAGTCAGTAATGGTTCGATTTGCTTGAGCTCTTATCTGTGGACTCTGTGCTGGCAGTTAAAAGCTTACAGAAAGATGAAGGCTGTGCTGAATTCTGGTTGACCGGGAGAGCTGCAGCAACTGTGCCCATAATCAGTTATACACAGAACCATTTCCTCACCTGTACAGGTGTCAGCATTGGGGTGTTACAGTCTTCCTCCTTGGTGTGGACAGCTGTAATTAGTTTTAAAAGAAGCCTTGAAATGCAACTCTTACACCCCCTCCTCTGTTACTAACTGACTGTCTTCCAGTTACTTTCCTTTGTCTTGTTCTGCATGATGCGTGTGTCAGAACGTAGCACTCATCGCCATTCAAGAGGATTTTCTCATTTAGAAACACTCACACTTTGTGGCTGTCTGGGAGACGCCTCTATAACGAGACTCTCGGATTAAGTGGAACTGCTGTTTTTCACTCCCGATCCTGTTTGTCCCCGAAGCCTCCCCATGCTGTTTATCACTGTTGAGTCTACATAAGACTGTAATCTCCACCTCTGACCTGCAGCACAGATAGAACTTGTCCTGGATTTCTGTTTTCAAATGTGCAAACATCCAGTATATTCTGTATTCATGCAGTCAACCAGCAGATGTTTCTCAAAATGCAGATTTCATTTGAAGCCTCTGATTTGGTAACAGTACTCTGGGACAATTTTCTATCAGCTCTAAATGTGCTCTAAAGGATCCCAATACAAGGAATGAATGAGTTCCCTGAAATGAATATCACTTTCTGCCGGGCAGCTTTGACACCATCTGCTCCTCTGGCCCTGATGCCTCCTCCACCCTCGGGGCCCAACCAGCCTGTGACGGTGTCCCGCCTGCAGATGCAGCTCCACCTACAAAGCCTGCAGCAGAACACCAACGCCCTGCGCAAACAGCTGTCACAGCTACGCAACATGCAGGTTTGTAAACAGACAATTTTGACTGAAAACTATTTTCAAATATGCAAACTAGCGTGTCACCCACACTTTTCCCCTCCCGTGATGTCATATTTTTTGTCAGCAAGGTTGTGCAAGCTTGGACCAAATATTAATATTAATGCCCCACTGTACAATACATTGAATAGCGTTGATCACCTGCTTCCCTCCTTTGCTCTCTGTTTCACTGTTGGTGGGTCTCCTCGGCTCTGCGCCAGCAGCAGAGGAAAAGCAGATTTTTTAGAAAAGAACTAAAGTGAAACGAGTTCACAAAGATTAGGAGAATAATATACATTTATTTTCATCATTTATTATTATATATTGTTTAAAATGTAGAACTTATAGAATCCTTTAAGAACTACTTTTTGATCCATGTTTCATATTATTGCACTTTATTTAAAAGAGCCTTGTAACCATTGAGTTAAGAGGGTTTTATCTATGTGCGGTAGCCTCAAAGGGGGATATGTAATATGTGCAGCTTGCAGTACTGTTAGAGTTGAGTCCCTCGATTAAGATAAAGGATTACTGGGGAGTTTTCCTCTAACAGAGTAGGAGCTCTTTTTGCAAACAGACCAACACACCAGATGTTGTTTGATCCCTCAGGAGAGTAAGTTTTAACTTCAGTACATTTACCTCATAAACTCACAAATGCAGTTTGAATATTTGGGTACGTGCACTCATCCAATAGTGTGAATGGAAACCAGTTCAAGTTTTAAGCTGTGACTCTGTTTCCCAGCTGGAGAACCAGGACTCGGTGCTCGCCCTGCTGAGACAGACGGAGTCTGAACTGAGCCTCATGATGCTGGATGCCATGCGCACCCAGGAGGACCCGCTTCAGAGACAGCGCCTCCTAGTGGAGGAGGAGAGGCTCAAATACCTAAACCAGGAGGAGCTGCTCATCCAACAGCTGCAGTGAGTTTGATCTTAAGTAAGAAGCACAGCAAACAGTCAGGTGGTCTCGGTTGGTTCGGTGAGGTGAACGATTCATGATGTTTCCAGTTGTTTACGCAAAGTGTAGACAGTGTTTCCTGGTATGTTTAGCTGAAGTTTCATTATTTCCTGGTTTAAGCTTCACATCAAAATCAAACCAGGAAAAAAAAACTTTTTGCATTCATCTGCTAAACGATGGTGCTGGCAACAAGCACAATTTTGGGACTATTTTGTAAATTCTTTTGGAAGCCAGTAGTAGATGAGTAGTAGTACATGAATAAAGTCTTACACTCAGTTTTAAAATTTGCAGGGCATCCACTGTGAATTCAGGTGTGAACAGTTACATTTTCAAACTAAAAGACATTTACAAATTTCTGTCCTTCACAGCGACCTGGAGAAGTCTGTGGAGGAGCTCCAGAGGAACTCGTCCGTGAATCACGGGCTCGTGACGGAGCAGGACGTGGAGCAGAAGAGCAAAGAGCTGAGGATGCTGGGAGAGACACTCACTGAGCTAAAAAGTAAATGCTGTCATGACCAAATCTGTGATGTTTTGTTTGTTCTTTGAATGTTCGACGCTTTAAAATCCTCTCAGTTAACGAGACTAGAGGACATAAACTACATCTGCCATTACTGATCAGGAAGCCCTTCCCTAACCCCTGGAGTGTTTAACTCCTCGACCTTTCACCTTTTGTGTTACGTCTCTGTGTTTCAGTCTTTGATCCCTCGATCCCGTTTGCTTGTTAAGTGATGATGTTTTGACCTCGTTTGCAGATGCAGTCATGTCCTGCGTTGGATGAGGCTCTCATTTCTTTAGTGCGCTGTTTATATTTTATCAACATGAAATGAGACCCTCAGAAGTTTCCAGCTGTCTTTCTGTCCATCTTTCTAGTAGCACTATTCATGTGCAGTGCACCTTTAAGGTATTTTAATCACACGGTGCACACCACAGTCTGGAATCACTCTTGGGCTGGCTAAGATTTTAGTGTGGACATTAAGCTTAGCATCAAGACTCATTCATAGAAAGTCATCCAAACCATGGATGAGCATATTAATAACTGTTGTCAGACATTCTCTCAGCTGAAGTTTGATGTTTATTTCGTCTTCCTGCCGTTTGTTGCTGCCCACCAGGAACATTTACCTGTTATTGATAAGTTTAACCCTCATCCTACATCTTCCCTCTGATAATCTGTTTATATTAGCCCGGCCATATCTCTGTAGCTTTATGCCACATAGAAAATTATTATATGTCAAACATGCTATGTTCCAACTTGCACTGAGGAACTGTTGGCACCATTGTCTCGCAGCACAAAAGCTATTTGTTTGAATCTGCTCTCCCGAGCTCTTGTGTGGAGTTTGCATGTTTTCTGTGACTACCTCGCACAGTCCAAAGAGATGTGTGGTAGGTTAATCTGTGATAAACTAATCGTGTGATTAGGCAGAGGATCCATAGTGGGTCCACGACCCTCTAAGGGACACTTTCAATAGGGCATAAAAACCTGGGATTCTCCACCAGTTTCTCTTAGAAGTGAAGAAGGTTCTAAAGAAGTCCAGGTGCTTTTCTTTCCAAGCTCCTTTAGTCATCAGGAATAGAAAATTGCTAAATGAAGATCAGTCTATTTCCTTGTCACCAATCCTCCACACAGCGCTGGTGTTTATTTTTACATCGTTGATTACGTCCATCGTCGTGCTTTACCTTTGAGTTTCTTTTTAGAATGAATTCAGAGCATGCAGTATCATTTTCAGATGTTAATTAGTGACCTACCGTGACTTCCTGCTGACTTCTAACTGCTAATTGTCATAAATCCTCTTTTTCATGAATTTCTGGATATTAAACTGTATTACAACAACTGAGGGAACGTTCATGCTGATCTTTGTATTGGAACTGATTTGGATGCTTTAGTGGAACATCTGTACTGATGACTGGTTAATGAAATTAACCACTTAGTTAAGATAATAGTTTTTTAATTTTACTGCTATATGCAAATGATACCCCACCGCTCCGCTGGTGAGCAGCTCTGTGTCTGTCGGTGCTTTTAACTTTAAACTGCAACAAATTCAAAGGAAAAAGGTTTCAAACACCTGCCAGGCTTAGCTGCACTTTCCAGCACTGTTGCTTCACCTCTGCTGTAGCCCAGCGAGACATTAACACATATCTTTGTTTACAGGATGAGACTGGATTAGCTGAAGTAATCTCCCTCTGAAAGTGGTCCCATACAAATTCATTTTTACACTTATTTGTTTTGCAAAAGGAAAAGTGCTGAGACGTGAATCTAAATGAAGCTGAAACACTTTGTTTTTAAAGCTTCGTATCATCATAATTGCGTCACTGTAATTGCAAATATTTTGTGGCTGAGGGTCCAGAAGCCAGATTTTTAAAATTTATTTTAGTGCCATGAAATACAACAGATAAATTCCCTGTAATATTTATTACTACTGCTAATGTACTTTTCTAGAAAAGCCAGCGTGTGATGGTGTAAACACTCACTAACATGACTTTACAATCAAATGTTTCATACAAACACTGATCATCATGAAATCTCCCCACGTACAGTACTGTAGTTACAGGTCACAGTTCAGGTGCTAACACTGCCAAAATACCGTGTTTGTCCATTTTCATGTTATGCAGACATGCAGATTAATATTTATGAGTCTTATTGTCCTTTAATTAATATTCATGAAGTTCCAGTTGGCCTCTGTTCCTGCTGCTTTGACCTGTGTACTTCTGTCTCTATCCTGAATATTAACAAGCAATTCCAAATCTCTTTGAAGCTCATTGTGTTGTGAGCCTGGATCCTACAAGTTTAACAGTGTCCTCCACTATTTTATAGTTAATGTGAACTTAGAAAATGGAAAAATAGTTTTTATTTAGTTGGTTTTATAAGTTCTTAGTAGGACAAGACAGCAAAAGGAAAGGGACTGAAAATAAGGAATTATTTTTTTAAAAGTCATAAAAAGTGTTGCAGGTTAGACCATAAACAGGAAGTTACTGAAAAAGAAAAGAAAATCCAACAACAGGGAAGATGCATACTAAATACACACTAAGCAGAGAAGCAAAATAAGGGGCAGGTGAACCCAATCAGACCTTAATACAAACTCAACTTGGATGTCTACCTCTCCTCCCACCTTTGCACACTGAGGAGATTTTATTTATGATTCAAATGGAAGAATTACTTATGTGTAAACCAGATACTCAGAGTTGATTTAATAAGGGATTGGGATGCTTTCTTCAGTAATACCATAATATGTCTCAGAAGCAGTTCAATTTGATTTCAATTCAGTTTTATTTATACAGCTTTAAATCACAATAACAGTCGCCTCAAGGCGCTGTTTATCGTGAGCTACAGATCGGCCAGTAATAGAGAGAAAACTCTGAAAATCAGACAACAGTGACAACATTTATAAAAGATGGAAATCGCTTGGAATCACTCACTAGTTGCAAGTTTTAATTCAATTAAGTTTTAATTCTGTAGCACCAAATCACAACAGTTGCCTCAAGGCGCTTTGTATCGTGAAGTAAAGATCCTACAATGATACAGAGAAAACGATGAGGGGCGGCCGTCTGCCACGACTGATTGGGGTGAGAGGAGGAAAGCATGACAAAGACATGCTGTGGAAGAGAGCCAGAGATTAATGATAACTAATGATTAAATGCAGAGAGGTGTAAGGACACATAATGAGGGGGAAAGTGACTGAAGAGAAACACTCAGTGCATCATGGGAATCCCCCAGCAGCCTACACCTATTGCAGCATTAATAAGGGAGGATTCAGGGTCGCCTGAATACATGCTTTAGCAAAAAGGAAAGTTTGAAGCCTGATCTTGAAAGTAGAGATAGTGTCTGTCTCCTGAATCTAAACTGTGAGCTGGTTCCACAGAAGAGGGGCCTGAAAACTGAAGGCTCTGCCTCCCATTCTACTTTTAAATCCTATAGGAACAACAACTAACTCTTTATTAGGATGATGCGGTACTATGAGGTGGTAAAGAGGAGATGGGTCCTGATTAAACAATGGGCAGGATTTTAACCTTGATTTAGCAGGAAGCAAAGATCTTTACTCTCATCCAGTAAGATGTGGAGGTTATTTATTTAACTTGTTCTTGGTCATATTTCTTTAAAGTGACCGTTGTAGCAGTCGCATCATCTTCAATTTCCCATGTGCCTCACAGCCTCTAGTTTGTTCTTTATGTTTATGTTTTTATGGAAAAACAAAAACCAATAAATAAAATAATATTTTTTAAAAACAAGGGCGGGAAAAGAACAAAGGAGGGAAGCAAAATTATAGAAAACCACATGAGGAACTAACCTCCAAAATAAAATGGGAAATAAGAGGGACCAAATGAAAACACACAAACATCAGACTCAGATGAAGGGGAACACACTTGGAAGAAGCAAGAAGTGAGAGAACAAAACATAATCAGTAGGCAAGAAAAACAGAACAATGGATAAAACAAAGCTAACATATCTAACACTTTACTTCAACCAACATCCATCCATTCTTCTACCTGCTCATGGGTGGAGAACGACTTTGTCTTTTCTGCATTTCTTTTATTATGAAAAACAGAAGAAGAGTCTGAATCTGAGGCATATACAGCTTGTTACCAACACACACCCAAACAGGACATATAAATACTACAAAGAATGAAACATATGTTAAAAAAAGTTTATGTACAGATAAGAAGACATGGCCAGGACACGCCCCTGAGGCGCCGCCATTTCTGCTGAAATCCAACATCTCAGATGTTACAACAAGCTAACATGTCCTTACTTCTCGTTTAGCTGACCCCCGCTGAGCCCTCCTCATAGGAATCATCTGGATATGACAGGAAAATCCTGGGTGACAGAAACAGCATCCCGTCTTCCCTTTATGTCCCCTTCCCTGTAATCCGCCTCCTCCCGCCATCCCTGCTCTCCGGCTCTATTTCTTCTCACATCAACATTTCAACATATCTCTCTGACACACAGCTTTCTGTTTTCACTGATGCCTCTTTCCTCCCCACCCTGTGCAGACCAGTTCCCGAGCCTTCAGAGTAAGATGCGCGTGGTGCTGAGGGTGGAGGTGGAGGCTGTGAAGTTCCTGAAAGAGGAGCCTCATCGTCTGGATGCCCTGCTGAAGCGCTGCAACACCATGACAGATGCTCTCAGCACGCTGCGCAGGTACTCGAATTAAAAGTGAAATGAACCCTCGCTCAGTTATTAAAGCAGCTCAAGTATTTTCTGCAAGATTTACATCAAACCACACAGTCAGTCATCATTTTTTAGTAATTTGGTTTAGATAATACAGCTGACGTCAGTCTTATCAGGACCAATCAATTATTTAAATTTTTTTTTTATCATTTGATTATTATAAAAAATAGTTTTTTCTTTATTTACAGATTATAAAAGGACTTAAATAAGGATATTAAACTACAATATATACACAACATGTGATCGAGGTTTTAGGAACGAGCCCAGATAAATCAAAAATCGTACTTGATCTCCTCTTCATGGTCATTTTCCCGTTCACCTCTCAATTCTTTTCATCACAGCTGCTCATTTGAGATCTCTCAGTAGAAGTGTCCTTATGCTTCTCCCCCTGTGATGTGTTCTGGATCGGCTCCATCGTCTAAAAACAGCATCTTGATTTCAACTTGATTTTCATTTTTTGGATGGAGCACAGGGATGCAAGTCTGGTGACAGCAAAATGCTCAGAGTTTTTCATTTGCCGTGTCACCGTCACTCCTAGAAGTTCCCCCTCAGACACTTCAGCAAGTTACAGTAGAACAGCTGGCAGTTCCACCTGGGTGGATGAATTTAATGCATTAGACTGTGAATGTTTAACGTTGCTGCAATATGAGCGGGTGGTGTCCTGACCATCTTTGGTTCGCCACATCTGGTTTCAAACATCGAGATGGCAAAAGGCAAAAATGGTCACCTTCTGATGTCAAAAGTACGACTTTATAAACCAAGTGAGAGTGACTACATCCATCGTTTATATACAGTCTATGAGCCAAAAAGAACGATGAGCTCGTGCCACGCCGAGGCGCCTGTCCATCTGTGTGTTCGCGAGAATCTCTACTCCCCCTTTACCTGTACTCAGAATTTAACTAAGCTTGCACAAACTGCTCAAGATTGAGGTTACACTCATTTTAGAGGCAGTAACTGCGATGAGCTGATGCATCTGTTTTATCAGAAGGTCTTTTCCAACCACTAAAAGGGACCTAGTTACATCTTGGTGCCAGATGCCAACACAATATCAGGCAGGTGGTCATTTTGTTTTGCCTGATTGGTATATATTAACATCTACACAGATTTAATAGAAACAAAGGCTTGTGCGGTGCTAATGACTACATAAAAGTTCTGCAATTTTTTTTAATTTAATTTTGTGTTTTATCCAAAACAAAGGTCCAGGATTGAAAAAGGATTTGTTGTAATGTGGAATCAGTGGAATGCAGCTTATATGGGATTCCCAATTATGTGTTTAAGATTAACATTTAAGGAAGTAAAATCAGAATTGATGCATGACTGCGCTGCCAAACGCTGAATAATGCCCGTGAGTCCTGTGTGAACACCAAGAACATCAGAGGAGAGCTGACGGGCGCAGCAGTCTCTCCTTTCCACTGTTGGTATTTCTGATTAATGGTTAAACGTTCTGGTCATCAGACAGCACGCCTCGTTTCTGCTGATATCAAAATGATAACATGTCATATATCGAGGTTTTTGTATTTATTTTTAATTGAAAGAAAAAGTTGAAAGTTAAAAACTGTCTAAGCAGCCGTTCGGGAACTTCAGATTAAGACGTCTGAATCCTGTAAACGGGATTATAAATCTCAGAAAAATGTTGATGCCGGTTTTCTTGGGGAGCTGCAGGACTTTAATGTAAGATCAGTAGGATTAAAATATGTGAGAAACTCCTCTCCGGTACACCAAGTATGGCCAATTATTTCAGCTGTGTCATCTTTCTTCAGTTCCTCATATGCGGTAATTCAATCGTTCATGCGATGAGTAATATATCACTTACCCTCGGTGGTGATCTGCAGTGATGTTTGTTTTAATAATCCTTTATCTAACTAGGTAAAAAAAGTCTCATTCAGACTGAAAATATCATCTTGAAGATGGCAGCAAACATCGTTACATTTATAGACACAAACAAACAGACAAATAAAACTGTCACACAGAACAGATGAACCCGGGATGTGCCGGGCGCAGCTGTGTCGCTTTCAGGTTCCGACGTGGCCACGGGAGCTAATGGCGCCTGCCCCGAACGGTGATGGCACGTCTGGCAGACGTTCCAAAAGCATCTGAGGAGTAGCTCTCAGCAGCAGAGGGAAGGGCAGGAAGATATACACAGAAGTATCATAGGGAAGCCAGTTAATTTCAAAATAAAAGAACCCATTCAGAGTCAGTGCTTTACAATACGCCTGGTTTGATTTGAAGCTTTGTGTAGATGTGACATCATATGACATCCTGATCAAAGCTCCAAGTTTGAACGGGTTCATGTGCAAACAAACTTTCAGAACCATTTTGTTCTTGATCTTTACTTGCACGATTGTCAAAAGGCAGTCAAAACATTTAATAGGAGCTTTGGGTTTAATAAGTTTGCCTGAGCTGACCCAAAGGTGGCACAACCAGGAGCAGTGTGTATTTACTTCAACATTTACAGCTTTGTGAGCCATAAACAGGATCAGACCATAAGGCCTCGTTCTGCTGTAACATCCTGAGACACGTCGAAGGCTTTCTGTCCGACGCAATGAAGGTTCCTCTACAGGTGCTCAGAACAAGATTTCCAGGAGCAATCTAATTAGCAGGAGTGCTGGAGCCAGTGTTTTACAACATAAAGAAATGGTCTGGTCAAACTTAAATCTGGCACCATTTTTGCCTTTTTATGGGTTCAACAGTTCAAGTTTTTGATATTTAAGTTTTTGCAGTCAGTCAGCAACAGTTTGGATCATTTATGATTCATTACCAGAGTTTGTTAAAGTAAACGTAATAAAAGCTGGTTAATCAATGACAATAGACTTCATTGTGTTAGCTGATGACCTTACCGTTATTCTGTTGTCCCCTTTGTTAAAAGACAAGTCACTGAGGGGGTGTGGAAGAGCCCCGAGGACCTCTCCAGCCAACCGCAGAAACGAGCCGATGACCTGAGTCGTACCTCTGATCTCGACATCCTGAACAGTCCTCCTCTCAGCCTCACCGATCTCAGCACCAGCGCCGGCCTGGCCAACTGGATGCCCGTGTCTGCCGGCGACGCGGACACCTCGGGCCCCGAGCAGGACATCCAGCCTACGATGACCTTTAGAAATCGAGTTCTTGATGAGCTGCCAAGCCGGCGTCCTCCTGATAAGTCTGTGTCCGCCGAAGTGCGACTGGTAATGAGCTGCTCATTATGACTGTTTTTCTTCATCTTACTGGTGTGAACAATCTTAATGTGCACGTTTTCAGGATCGGCCAGATGGCAAATATCCATTTACATTTGAAATTGCATCTGAAGGTACTTAAATCCCTCCATGAGACCGTGTTCACACGCCAGCAGTTTGTTTATAATTCCATTTGTCCATGCAGCATTAGAAAACAAACTGCTTCTCTCTGCCTTGGTTATGTGTTTCCAGCTCTGCCTCTTAGTAGTTTGCATGTTAGGGCATATCATTTGTCTATATCTGTATTTATGTCAGGCGGCCGAGCGGGACTGGGAGGAGAAGCGTGCCAGCTTGACCCAGTTTAGCGCCCAGGACATCAATCGCTTGCTGGAAGAGACTCAGGCAGAGCTGATGAAAGCCATCCCCGACCTTGACTTCGCTGCCAGGCACATAAACAAGCCGGCAGTGCCCCCAAAGCCCCAGATCACCATCCCAATAACGTCCGCCGCAGCTACCTCTGCAGCTGGGACCACTGGGACCACAGCCACGACCTCCACCACTACAAACACCACACCCAGCGGGGACCAGCAGCCTGGAAAGGTGCAGCTGGCTGCCCAGAAGCTGAACAGCATGGAGGGGGCTGGTTCGCATCGAGGCTCAGGTCAGTTTGTGTTTCAGATTTAAATCTGAGCTTTCAGCTTTGACTGAAGTGCCTTTGTGCCGTCTTCCTCCCCTCACCCCCAACCAGCTGGGGTGAGGGGGGGGGATATTACCTTACAATATAAATAAATAAATGTTAAATAAAGTTATTTAAACAAAATGAAAGTTAAAATACTAAAAATCTGTTTATTTTTAAAGTGGACCTCAACGTGGCCAAGTATCGAACAGAAAAGCCCTCCAAGTCTCCTCCTCCGCCTCCACCTCGCCGAAGCTTCCCCTCCGCTCACGGCCTCACCACAAACCGTACTGGAGAAGTCATCGTCACGTCCAAGAACCTGAAGGTGAGACTCAGTCAGGGTTCAGTATCCAGAACCACATATGAGTCATACCTTGATTGTTTTTTAGATAACAACCACAGAACCAATCACTTGATCATGTTTGAATACATCCATCTATTTCCTGAGCCACTTTTCCAATAAGGGTCGCATGGTGGCTGAAGTCTATCCCAGCTGTCGAGGGGTGAGAGGCGAGGTTCTCCTTGGACCGGTCACCAGTCCATCACAGGGCTAACATGGACACACGTGTGCTTATAGTCATATCTTCTAACTAACATGTTTGAGTCTTCCACTTTACTTACCTGAGCGATCTTTGAGTAATGCAGGTTTCCCCAGATTAGTGCGAGTTAACCAGGCTTTAACAGCTTTAACAGCACTTTCAGGATTATTGCCATGCTGCTACGTCGACAGGTTTTTACCACACAGCTTCAGATTTTGGCAGATCTCTGCAGACTTTGCTGCAGGTTCACAGCAGCATGCTGCCTCTTTCAGCTCACACTATAAATCAAGTTTCTGTATTTGCCCTCTGGTCCACAGTGTTGTTAATGCATATGGATTGTTTTGGTGGGAACTTTTCTACTTGTTTTTTTAGGTATATGCTGTAAATGTCTGCCTTTTCTCAAATCTATTAGAAATAAACGTCTCTATTTTCTTTATACAAACTACCCCCACTAACCAGAGTCGTTTCATCCTGTCACGCTTTCATAACTAAAGCCTCTTGTCAGAAGTGGACTTAAATCTCCGTCTCTACAGTGATACATGTGGCAGCACAAAAAAAACGTAGCTCCCTTTTTGAGCAAGCCAGTCATTTCTGGTGCAAGTGCTCTCCATGGTGGTTCTGTTATATTCTGTTACATACAGTGGATCTCCATCATTGTCTTGTCTTCTTCTCCACATCCCAAACTGGGCGTGTCAGATGGCCGCCCCATCCTGAGCCTGGTTCTGCCAGAGGTCTCATCATGTTAAAAGGGAGTTTTTCCTTCCCACTGTCGCCAAAGCTCTGCTCAAAGGGGATCATATGATTGTTGGGGTTTTCTTTTGTTTTCATTGTAGAGTTTTTACCTTGACAAACTGCAATTTGGTGCTATATAAATAAAATGGAATTTAACTAAATTAAATGAAATTGAATTTGACCTGTTTGCCGTGGCAGGTCAGTCCTTAGAAATGTTGTTGTCTTTATTTTGTCCTTTTGTAGATGGAAGAAGATGGTGACCTGCCAAAAACCCTTGTGAAACTGAGGCGGACCCCCTCCGATGCCCCCCGACCTGCCTCGACCCCTCCCGTGATCGCAGCCTCGGCCGTACAAGATGAAGACGACGAAGAGAAGATTATTGCCGAGCTGGAGGTACATTAGTCTGGATTTTTAAGTGAGAAGTTATTCATCTGATTTGTGTTGCAGATTTCTGTTAATACATGTTGTCTCGGTGTGATAACGTGTCTTTCATAAAACTACAAAGATATTTCAGAGAATGCCTGTAAAAGATTGTAATAAAGGGTACAGCAGCCCAGCAAAGGCCACCCCCACCCCTCCCTGCATCATGGGCAGAAAGGTAAATTAAAAACCTCCAGCTGCCTTCTGTCTCCGCCACACCTGTGGGCTCTGCTTCTGTTTCTGCTCATTCCCCCTTTCTTTGTATTTCCTACTACTGCTGAAGCTTTTGTAGCGACTAATACAAAGAGTCAACACCTTTTTCAGGGTCACACTGAAATAAGCAGCGGAAACACAGCTGTAAAAAGCCAGCAGACTAAATTGTAGACAGCACTTTAATCTGGTGGTTTTCTGACCTTGGTTTAAAAAAACACCAGCATTTTCCACCATTTATACATTCTGCTTTCATGTAATCAGCCTTATACTGTGAGGTTTCTGTTAGAGGAGAAAAACACACGACGAGGAAAATCTGGTGATTCATCTCAGCGCGCTAGCAGTGACTGAATTTATTTACTGATTATAATTCAATTTAAATACAATAACTGGCTTTACAGGAGCGAGGAAGAGAGAGCACCGTGGGCACCATGCAAAAGTCTTCTTTACATTTTGCATTTTGTTTCTGAGGAGCGAGACTTCCTTATATTTGTTTCCCTTGTACAAGTCGTGCAAACAACGGTGAAGGATGTCATGTGACTGCAGCGTCACAGTGTTTTCTGTCACTGTGCACGCAGTACTGCGAGCCGTGACTGATGGCATTAATCTGTTGTTTGCTGCTATGTGGATAAATGACTGGGGGAGTAACGATGACCTGTTTTAACAGAAAACTAGATAAAGTGTTAAAATCTATTAAAGTTGCCATGTCAACAGCACTGTATGTGAATCAGATTGTTTCAGTTTGTTTGGTGATGCTTAATTACTTTTCTGTGATAATGTAAGCTAATTAAAGTGTATGCTATATTTAAAACATCCTCTTTAGTTTTTTTTAGTTTTTTACTCCTATGTGGGATCAACAGACGCTGAAATATATCAAAGATTAAAAGAAATAACTGGATTTTCTGGTGGCGTATATTCGAATTGAAAACGTATGTGTGTTTTCCACATTCATATTTAAAAATCCAGTTGTAGGCAGAAGGCTGAATATAAATTTAAGGTGGCTGAACTTTTCTTCTCTTTCTAACCCTGTTAATGTGTCCTCTCCTCTGCTGACTTTCAGTCTTGCATATTGTGATGTTTGTTTATAAAATGTGCATTAAGTCTCTGTAACCGCTGCAGCAGCACCTTGTAGCTGACGGCGTGATGCGATGTGCAGTGAGTCAGCACGGATCGAAGCAGATCATGCATTTAGTTTAGAGTGCTCTTTATGACAGCTCTGCTGGCACGTTGAGCCGAGAAAAGAGGTCTTGTTTTTGTTGGAATTATCGCACAACGCCACTAAGCAGGTAGCTGTCAAAATAAAGGGACGGTGAGACGAGGAGGGAGGGCGAGGGAGGGGATTTCAGGTTCAGAGCTGCAGACAGAAACGTTTCTCTGAAAGAATCTATTTTCTCACATGCAGGTGCTTTAAATTCAGATCCCGCTTTTGTTTGCTGAAGGCGTTTCAAGCAGCGTGGCATCTTTAAAGTTCCTGCCAACAGTGATTAAAGTCAGCAGAAATAAATTGTCTCTTTCTAATACTGGTCATTAAATCTGTGCTTTCCTGTGGTAGAATATTTTTACTGAAATTTGGTCCAGAGAGACGCAAAAAAGGTTAAAGGTTAAAACTCAAGAATGGTGAACACCGGCACCTAGATCCTCTGTGTACAGCTGCTCTCTACAGACGTGTAGACGTTATGCAATCATTCGTCACAGCGCAGCACTGTAATAGATGTAAATCCAGTCATCAATGAAGATTTTTTTTGTCACTTTTTAACAATTTAAGCTCAGTCAGAATCATTTTATTCAAAAGATGTCCTTCCACAGTACATTGATTCACCACCCTTCACTGCACATGCACGGAAAAGAGCGAACGTCAGTGACAGCAGATGTAATTTTAATGAAGACGTAAGGATGCAAGGCTAAAGGAGCTTAAACAGGAAGCTCTGCATGAGATGGGCATCAGCTGATGCAGCCTGGCACAGAAAACAACTGATCTGAAGTATTTTTTACAAAAGTCTGGTATACAGATCTTAAAAGTGTATGAAGACCTACTTTATTAAGTATATTGTTCTAGTGTGCAGTTTGTTCCATATTTCTGTGATAACATCACAAAGTTGCTGCAGATTTGATGATGTCAATCTCTCGTTTCACCACATCCCAAAGACTGGATTAAAATCTGGTGACAGTGGAGGTCATTTGAGTTCAGTGAGCTCGTTTTCATGCTCCAGGAACCAGTTTGTTGACGTGCAGCTGGATGGATCCATGTTTTTATGTTGTTTACATCAAATTGTCACTCAACCATCTGATTGTTACAGCAGAAGTCGCCTCAGACGAGGAAACATTTTTCTAAATCTTCTTTTGCCCAATTTGAGTGAGAAAATATGAAATGTAGCCTCAGTCTCAAGACGTTAGCTGACAGTAGAGGCGTCTGGTCTTCTGCTGCTGTGCCCAGGCTGCTTCAAGGTTCAATATTTGTGTGCTCAACGATGCTCCTCTGCATACTTTGGTGGTCAGCTGAGTAGCTATTAGCTTACTGCTATCGTCTTAAAGCAGTTTGGTCCTCTGACGTGAAAACCACATTGCTTCTCTTTTTCTGACCAGTCTCCGTAAACACTAGAGATGGTTTTTAGGGAAAATCTCAGCAGATCACCAGTTTCTGAAATACTCAGAATAGCCCAGCTGGTACAAACAGTCATGTTACATTAAAAGTCCCTTAAATCTAATTTCCTTGTCGTTCTTGAACATGTCCATGTGCTTAAATCGGTACGCTAACAGATATTTGTGTCAATGAGCAGTTGAACAGGTGTGTCTAATAAAGTGGCCGGTGGCTGCATACAGCATCACTATAAACTGTAGTAGCATTGTGGAGTGAATGGTTCTGATCGTACAAGTATTTGAGATTCCAATCAGGACAAGACAAAAGTAGACACTGATTTTAGGACTCACATATCTTAAATATCCATAAGATATGTTCAGCATCTGTTGCCATGGTGATCTAGTGAGGTAAAAGACTTAATGATAGCTGCACTGGTGGAACAATACTGTGATGTTGGGATATCGGATTGTGCAGAAAAAAAGACCCATTAATGAAGCTATTCAAAAACAACAAATATAATCTACAACACATGGCCAAAAAAATAAGTACACTTTCAGCATGTGCTGTGTTTTCATTTGGAGGGCTTGCAGATCACAGTCACGAATCATTACAGTATAGAGAGGCTGTGTCTGATTTCATGCCAACACTTGGCTGGTTCAACATGAACACAAGCCGAAATAAGTTAAATTAAAATGACGTTGCTCTCTCTCTCTCGGCTCCCACAGTACAGCAGTAACTCTCCCGGCCCGACGAAGGGACCCTCTGTCGCCGCCCGGCTCAAACACCTCCAGCAAGGCAGCCTGGAGAGGCCCAAAACCCGCAGGCAAAAAGAGGAGATCCCCAAAGTCCAGGGTCAGCAGCAGGTATTCCACTTCTAAAAAGTCCACCTCTGATGCTTCGTCTGCCTCTGCCTCTCCTCTTTGCTGTCACTCCAAAGGAAGTCCCGCTCCCTTCCTCGATGACTTCTGCGAGATGAAAACTGTATAGGCCTGACGACACGAGATCAAACACAAACCAGTGGGGGAGAATATCTACAGAAACCTTGGTTTTTTTTACCAGTTCTTGATGTGTGTTTTGAGTTACTGGATCTAACCTAGCTTGCTTAGAGGTCAAGTTTTTGTCGTGCGAGTACGTCAATGTTTTGATTTCCTGAGGAAGGTCTCGGTGCTTGTGACTGACTAAACTAGCTTTATTATGATAGATCTATTCCGATACATCATCTGCCTCTGTTGTGTGAAATAAGCTTCAGTAATGCCACGGAAAGACTTCATATCTCAGAGTCACAGAGATGATATTTCACCCTGATCCAACCATGTTTTCTCTCACTGAATCCTCCTCATCTCTCAGTCTGTTCATCCAGTAATGACCACATGCTGCTCTTTTTCTATTACCCATCATTTAGACCTCAAGGTCAGCAGGCAGGGCTGCAGCAGGCGCTGAAAAACCTGAAGGGTTCACATTCCAGCCGCTAGGCCAGTCCATAACGCTAGCTTACTTGCCTTTTTTTAAAGCCAGGATGCTATGATTATTTTGCAAGACACCAAGCGCAGAACACAAGGCATAAGGTCAGCAGAAGATGGTGTGCAGGTTTCAGTTTAGTGTCTGCAGTAAGCAGAGTTAAAGTAGCACCCTTAGCAGTGATGTTAAAACAAAGACGAATCGATGGAAAGAATGGAAGCAAGGACCACAACCCAAACAGATAATGAAGATGAGCTGAACGAGAAGCAGCGAGACAACAGGCTGCAATTTGGGGAAGACCTTAGTGAGGATCAGGGGCAACAGATCCCCAAAGAAAGCCACCTTCCCCTGGAAGCAGTGATTGAGCGTTTTGCACATTTTGAAAACTGTAGCAGTTGTAAAACTGGTAGAAGCGACCGTGACTTTGAATAGGTTGTGTGGGAATCCTTTGCTGAAGGCCGACGTGGTTGTTCTACTACTGAAGGAGGGGCCAGGTCAGAAACCAAACCTCAGCAAATTCAAGACAGTGTGGGGACTTGACTTTACAGAGGGGAAGGAACCAGAATTGGATGGGCAGGGCTGTGATGGAGGGGTGTGTGGGGCAAGCAGACATTAAAGATATGTGACAGGAAGAGGAGTCTTTGGGGTGTCGTGCTAGTGAACTTCAGATAAATTATTTCCAATCATTGATCTGAATATAAAACGGGGTGTAAGGAAAGTTTAAGGAAAAACTTTTAAACTAATGTCAAGTTCTCTAAAAGTTATTTTCATTTCAACGTCTAAAAATTCAACTTAAAATTCAAACTTTCTCGTTAGCTTCTATCCTTAGACTGTATTTAAAAGATGGACACATCAGTAAGAAGTCCTGTTTTGAAGCCTCGAGGTTAATTTTTCACCGCTGTCAATCTTGGCATTTTAAAACCAGATGTGACAACTCAGTAGCCAATGAACACCCCCTACATAATCCTCCTTTCTGACTCTAATAATGACAATAATTTACAAAATTATTTACAAAACAGCCTTCATGTTTATTTAACTAAACCTGAAATGATGATTTAATGATCTGAAAGTGTTTCTGAGATCACAAGGCTGCTGTCCCATAGTCTCCTATCAAAGATGAGTCACGTGAGTCTCCCCCTGCTGGCTGTTAGAAGAATGCAGGTTTTTATGTTGGCTTCACCTATCAGACCTGAGCATTCGGTCCATCTTTTATACTGCCTGTGGCTCTATTGGTCATGTGACCCAGTAACCATCTGTCATTTTAATTACCACTGACACTAAAGGAAGTGGGGCTGAATATCAGCCACTTTTATCAATGACCGGCGGCGAGAAGTGGTCGGGTAACGAGTTAAACTTTTCTTAACTTTGAAGCGAGCGACAGAGGCGAACACTAACTGGAGATGAACTAGATATACAGAAGCAACAGACTGTCGGCTGTAAAGCTGAGAGCAGGATTTGTCATTTTCAGTTAATTAAGCTGCACGTTATTTTCCCAGTTGATAATTTGTTTGAACCTTTTTATTTGCTGTTGCTTTTGACCTTGATAAACAGGTGAATTATTCTGTTTTAGCTCCAGTTGTGCTTGAATTACAAAACCAGGCATTTATTTGCTTTAAAAAACTCTCTAACACTTCTTTCTTACCACAAACACAACCGCGACCTTCCTTTCCGCGAGACAAACTTGAGACTTGTCTTGGTTCCCTCAAATATCCTTAACAGGCAAGTTTGATAAGAAAAGGAGGCATGAGAAGCCAATATTCAGGATGGGGGAAACCTGGAGTATGTCCGTGTGACAGAAGGAGCAGAACTGGGACGATTTACAGTGCACACATTCAGGAGTTATCTGTAGAAAATGCAGATAAAGTAAATTTTTTTTGTGAGTTCCTGGTTCCACAAAGACTAAAAAGTAAACCTTACAAATTTTTTATGGACTCCTGCAGTGTTTCATTATTAAAGTGCTGTGACGGCTTTGTACAATTCCAAACTACTTAACCACGATGTTTGTTGGCAAATTAAACCTCCAGTTTAATCACTTTTACACAGAAAGAGGCTTCTGAGCTAATCCAGGCATCTTGAATAAATAAAAATGCCGCGTACGCTAGCACGCCTTTCGCAGCTGATTCTGAATCTGCCACAAATTCCCATCCGCTATGTCGCCGTGCACCAGCACAGTACAAAGAGAGAAATCGGTGAGTAAATCAGCAGCTCGGTGTAAAACACGTCGCCTCCTCCTGAGCGTGTCTGTGCAAACGGGAGGTTAAAGTTGGCTGATGAACCCTCAAACACGGCCCTTTCGCCACGGAGCTCCACTCGCTCTTATCTGGTCCTGCAGGCGCTCCGGGCTGCCCCTGACCTGCTGAGCGTAACAGCCTTGACCCATCCTTGGCTACGATCCTTTTTGAGTAAATACTGACAATGAAAATAAAAACGCATCCAGCTGGTGCCTCTCAGGCAGGCAGGCAGCGGGTCACTGTCAATCATCCTCTCATTTGTCAGCGCTGGTTTTGATTAATGATTAATGATTTTTCCATGAGATATCCGTCATTAACTCAAAGCAGCTCCTCCACATGAGCCCAGATATCTTTATAGACTTCGCTTTCATGTATGCGAGCAGGCCAGCGTCTTTAACAATGCCTGATATTAGCAGTAACAGCCGTTCACATGCGGCCAACATGGCTGACCTCCAGTTGACACGCGATGCCATCTGGGCGCTCGTGGACGAAGAGGCCGTGAGGATTAGTATTCAGCTCCGGTGCCATCTTGTACCGGTCTGAATATTAACTCACTTTTTTTTTTGCACCTCATTTCCCTTATTGCTTTTTAAAAATTCATGATTTTATAACCACACAGCCTGAAAGCAAATGGTCAAATAATGTACTGTAATTTTTCTATTACGCAGGCCGGAGCCAACGCACGGCTGAGATAATGTCATCGAACGTGCTGTTAATATTATGCACAAACATGTTCTCTTATCGCATCCGGCTAAATTAACTGTAGAGCATCACTTGTAATGGAAACGCTGGGATAACAGCGTGGCTCATCTGTGTCATGTCAATGTCAGCCTCTACTGTACATACAACCATGCGGCCAAATGAAGCCTCGTGTAAACGAGTTAATGTAAAGAGAAGGGAGGCAGTGAAGAGTAAAGAATACACAACTGGGGGAGGCGGCAGCGAGTTTACTCACTGAAGCTAGGAGCTGGAATTAGAAACCACCTCACAGGAATGTTAATGTTTTACCTTCTTCCTGTTGATGGACAAAGATGCTGTTCCAAACTCAGTGGCTGCCTCACTCCTTTTGGCTTCTGCTCTACTTTAAATTAAATGAAAATGGGTCAAAATTGTGTTTCAGATCTGCAGAAATCTACAAAAAAATGTGGTCAAAGCCAGAACGTAGGAACTAAATTTGAACTTTGTTGTCTGTAAACTGAAGTCGCGATCGCTCTTTCTGCCACGACTCGACAGACGCTTCTTTTCCCTCAGGATCGGTGACCTGGAGCGAAGTCTGCCTTATGACAAATGAACAGAACCAAGGGTTCAGCTCTGCTTCTTACCAAAAAATCTCTCACTGCTGCTGCTTTCACTCATTCTTTAGGAAAATGGCAGGAAACTCCTGCAGTAGCAGCTCCATACCTGCTGACATCAGTGGTTCCAGCTTGTTTTTCTTTTTTGCTGCAGCCAGGTATTTAGCAGCAGTAGCAGCACGAAGCTTTTATTGGTGGACGTGCATGATACTATATTTGGTATCAAGATGAAAAAGGGCTAACCTCAGCAAGGCCTCGGCCACCACTGACAAAGTGTGGCCAGCCGTTTATTCCCCTACACGCAGCCGATGAGGACGCCTGTTAGGGGGCCGTTCACGTGCTCATAAAGCTGACTTTACATCCTGTTACTGATTCCCCAGCAGAAGCGATTATGTACAGATATGATTCAGTAACAGTAACAAAGAGGAACTGAAGCATGTAACTATGGTTATCTCAAGCTTATACACCACTGGTCCAAAAAAAAGGTCACACATTGATACTTCATTGGCCACCGTTAGCTCTGGCACACGTTCACTGTGGCATCATTGCAGTAAGCTTATGCAATGTCACATTTATTTCTGGGCTGCTGTCTTCTTTTGTTACGGCTGGGGGAGTCAGACCGCTGCATAAAGCCTTCCCCAGCACATCCCAAAGATTCTCAGTGGGGTTCAGGTTTGGACTCTGTGGGGTCCGATCCATGTGTGGAAATGATGTCTCATTTTCCCTGAACCACTCTTTTTTACAATCTGAGGCTGACGAATCATCTTGGATAAGCCCATGCCATCAGGGAAGACAAACCTGGTCATTCAGTGCAGGATACCTCACATATTACTGAGTCAGACCCCTAATCCAATGGTGGGCTCCCACCCACAATGCCCTGCCCCCAAGTAGTGATTTTTTTTGGGGGGTTTTTTGCCAAACACTGAGCAATTTACATGACTTCAAAGCCACATTATAAGTTCGAGAGTATTTGGCAAATATGGAATTTTTGCACATTAAAGAAAATAAAACAGCAAAATAAAGACATCCAGATGAATCAAACTGTAGCCGACCTAACTAGCTTAGCAGCTCTCTGTAGCTGCGATTACACCTTTTAAAAAGTGAATCGATGCTTAAATCACATAGTTAAATCTATTAAAGTCTATATTTTATTATATTGGCTTACATGTTAATGTGATGAGTGTTAATAGTATTCAGACAGATGGAACCAATTCCCCATAAGCTGCAGTTGTAAAATAAGGCTTATTCTCTTGAAAATTAAAAAGAACAAGACAGTTGAAAGAGCAGTTTGAAGATGAAGTGTCCATTTCTGCAGTTTTAGGTAGTCTGAAGGATCTGCTGTGTAAAGTTATGAAGGTGAAAAGGAGGAAAGTTAAACCGTTTTCCTCCCCACACTGCTTCTGTTTTTGCTGCACTGCCGCTGTAGGCGGGTAAACTTCACATGATGCCCGCGTCTCCATCAGCTGAACTGGTGTGATGTTGCTCCGGGCAGACGAATGCTTTTAGATTCAGAGTGTCAGGCAACGGGATCTGCCAAAATAATGTGAAGCGATGCAACATATTTGATCTCTTCTTGACTAGATTTACTCTTTTGCTTCACTGTTTTGGTTTTCTTGTGGTATCGGCTGCTGTTTAGCATTCTTCAGTTTGACGGAGAAGCTGCTGTGCTGCGTAGAGGAGGCGGTACGCTTTTAAAAATCCCTCCGGAGTCTGTCTCTGCTCGTCCTTTTGTTCCCGAGAGCGCCTCAGATGTACCTGTGTCCCCCCCCCCCCCCGGGGCTCCAGGCAGCACCTTGTCACCACAAACAGTTTTCTTTTATTGCTGAACTTAAGCTGTTGTCGAGTTGGATTCTTCCCCCTTTGTACGCCCTGTTCCAACAAGGTTACAGACAATACCAGCACTCACACGTTTTATCCAACCAGCCTTTTATTGGCCTAAACTGATTTTTCCATTTGCTGGTGTTTTGTTCCGTTGCACTGCATTTGACCTCCCAGCGCAACCATAGTTAGGTGTTTAAAGAAGTCATAAATTGACAGAGAAAGCAGATTTATCTCAAGCTTCTTCTTGCTGCCAGATTATGCCTCCTTTGGTGGCATCTTTTATATACAGTCTGTGGCCAAACGTTGAGATAATTCTAGAAAACACCAGAAGTCCTTTAAGTTTGCTGCTACTCAAGTACGCACCGAGTACCCATCCATCAGGTAACAAGAGTCGCGACGACGTTCTTGGCACATGCATCAAATTTCTCTTTACACACCCAGTGCGGTAAACCATCTCCATCGTCAATCTTCCTGAACGTAACTTGTTTGTCTTTCGGCCGGCCGAACATTTGGCCGTGTGTGGCTCATAGAGGTGTAATGGGAGGGAAAATCTGTAGCCCACTCATGTGCAGAGCCGTTCATTAGCAGTGGCAGCAGAGGGGGCCGGGGGACGGCCAGCCGCTGGTTGTTTTTCCACTTGGTTTATTTATTTGGCACACAGAGGAGCTGCAGAGGCTGCTGCTGCTGCTGGCGGCGAGGTGTTTAAAGTGAGAGCAGGTCAGAAACATAAATGTTTTCTCAGGAACACCCCAGAGCCCCGGCTAATACCGAGCTGTGGTCAGAGGAAAACTTGCTTCTGCTACACCTTATCTTTCCTCCTACGTCACGTTCCTTTCCTCGTCTCCTCTGCCTGTCTCCTTTTCTTTTCCACTGTTCTACTCTCTTCATTACGTTTCCTTTCATCCCTTTTTTCTTCGTCCAGTCGTTCCTATCCTTATCCATCCTTCTTTATCTCCCTCATGATTTCTTCTCCTCTTTCCTTATCTCCCCTTCGTATCTTCTTCATTTTTCATTTCCTCATTCCCACTCATTTCCACCTCTGCTTCCTCCTTCCATTCCCATTCTTCTCTCTGCTTTCCTTTTCTTCCATCTTTTCTCAATCTGTTTTAACCTGTTATTCCATCGGCCTCATTCCCATGTTTCCTTATCCTTTCCTTCCTTTCCCTTCCTATCTTTATTCTCACTCATGCCTTTCTCCCTTATCTCTTCTTTTGTTTCCTTCCTTATCTCCTTTCCATCCTTTTCTTTTAGATTTCTCTCCCTCATTCCTCATTTGATCTTGCCGTTCTTGTTTCCTCTATTTTGTACTTCTCATCTTTCCTTTTTTCTTGTCCCCACTTCCTCTTTCCTTGCCTTTTACATCTCTTTCTTCCTCGTCTTCTTTCCTCATCCCTGGCTACCTCTCCTTTTCTCCTCTCAATGTTTCCTACTCTTATCTCCCCTTGCTGTTTATTCTCCTCTCCTTTTTAGCTTCTCTGCTCATCCTGTCTTCTTCCTCCCTGTCCTTCTTGTCTGATGCATTTGTTTCCTTGTGTCATAATCTCATTCCTCCTTTCCTTGTCACCCCTCGTCATTTGTCGTCTTCTTGTTTTCTCTCCTCGTCTCCTTTTCATCCTCCTTCCACTCCCGTTTCCTCTTCCTCCTGTCACTGCGTCACACACAGAAGAGGAAGAAGAGCTGATAAGGGCAGATTTTCTGTCCCTCGTCTCTGACAGCAGCAGCTCTGTGATCATTTCTGCCCGTCTGCAGCCCAGCGACAGCTTCGCACTCTTCTCTCTAGTCTACCCACAAGCACGAGGGCTGTCACGCCGATGCACCAAAAACCTGACGTCCCCGGCGGCCAATCACATCGAAGCGGAAAGTAGTGGTAGCGCAGGAGGGGGACAGGGAGGGGGAAGGGGCGGTGGAGGAGATCATAAATCATGGATGATTTAACAGAAACTTGAAATACATTTGTCTGTTTGTAAAATTTGATTTTTGTCTTTTTTCTTTTTCCCTTCCTTTCACCGCTTCTCGTTTCCATTCTAATTTTTTCTTCCTTTGCTCCCGAATCTTCCCTCTCTGCTTGCTTTTTTGGGGCAGTGCTGAGCTTTTGTCACCGCTACAGCAGAAACGCCGCTCATTGATCTGGGCGATCATCATCACCACATCACCATCAGTTTCGCTGACGTTTTCCCCTCGCTGCTTTTTCGCACATCATTTTGGTCCGTGAGCCAGTCTCCTTTCTTCCTCCTCTCTCTCCTTGCTTTGCCTTTTTTCATTCTCTGTCTGCTTCTCAGGTCTCTCAGGCCTCAGCTGGACTAATAACGTGAGGAGTGAGTACTCGGATCGTTCTGGTTTTGGACTCCTAAATCCTAGCTCAGACCTTGAAGGTGTGACATTTTGTCATTGGCGTAATTTGTCTGACTCTCTCGGCTGCTGTAGAGGTCGTTTTCACATTAAGGAGCCAAATTAAAAGGGTAAAATTTATTCTGCACATTTGGAGGTTTTTCCATCGGCTCCAGACCTGCTTTGTGAAGCAGTGCGAGGATTTCACCTCTAACATGTATGTCGCAAATCCATCTTTTACCATAACTAACAGCTAAACACAATACCTGTGTCCCAGCTTCGCACCGGCTCAGCTACTTTAAAAATAACTTTTACGCTCAGTAAAAAAATGCTGCTTTGGGGGATTTTTGAACAAGAATATACAAACAAAGCTTAAAAAGACAGGGCAAAAAAACCTAAAATTTGTGACTATGCCGAAATGCATATGATAAGCAGTAACACAGCAACAGAACCATAAAAATGTCAGAGCTTTCAGTGAGGGAGGATAGATTTGGGTGCCTAGCCGGAGCTTGGAACGTCCACGATGAGTGACCAACAGTTAGCTACAAAGTGATGCATAACAAACAAACTTTTACTACTTTTTAAACTTTTACTATTTAACTAGTCATGCATACTGCGAGTTTTATCCTCTCTAACCACGCCCCTTTTCTAAGTCACACGCCCAGTGACTTTAGCCACTCCCACTCATTCACTCCCATTTGTAAAATAAACAATGCGAAATATTTGCAACTCCAGTCAAAAATAAAATGATGAAAATGATGATCATTACTAAAATAAACTCTCCTCTTCGCAGGTGTGTGAAAGTGTGAAACTGGGACACAGCGAATCGTGTTACCCTTACCTTTTGTCTGCAACACGTGTGTTGTCAGAGTTTAACCCGTTCCAAATCGGTGTGTTATAAAAGTTTTAATGAATGTGACAAGTCGAGTTTGGATTAAAGCGCAGAAATGCAGCGAGCTGAGACGAAAGGTTTCATGTAAACCGAATCTAAAGTGACAAGATAAATAATCCTGCGCGCACCCGTGCTCGACGCGGTGCGTGACATCTTGCTGGAGGGAAATCTGACACTGACTGTGTATTTATACCACCGGCACACAGTAAATTACAAGCAGACATTTTATTATATAGTTAATACATTTATGGAATGTATTAGTAGTGTCAGAAATAGCATTAAAAGCTAGCACGCAGTTAAAGTATAACCTAAACCACTTCAGATATATTGTATGTATATTAACAATCATTTAGTTTAAATTTGGGAGAGAACATGTAAAAAAGAAAAAAGTGTCATCTATGTTTTATATAATCAAGCTTTTTTTGTATTTTTATACTTGAAGAGGATTCATACGCACGTTTAACACATTTATTCTGTAAATTTTTATTTTTCTGCGTTAAAGATTTCTTTATTTTTTCTGCTAACCATGAAACAAACCATTAACACATTGTATCGTAGAGACCAGGAGAGGCGCCAGATGCTCGCGGCGGGCAGGAACATGTATAGAAAGCACATGAAACAATCACCTCTCTGATAGGATGGCCTCATTTTGTAGCTGTTTTCCTCTACTATAACCAATAGTGTGCATACACTACACAGATGATACAATTCAAACTGTTTATCGATGGTTTCTTGATGAATGTGTGATTGTTCAAACCATTTGTGGGTGTTCAAATCATGTATATAAACCCAGATAATATATAACAAAATGGATTTTATGTGAAAACTTTTATAGAAGGAATTAAAAAAAGAGGAAAAAACTCTCCAAAATGGCATGCATACTGTATACATTCCTGGAAATCTGCACGCTGGGTCAACAGAGGTCTCATTTTCTTGTCAAAAATTCTGTGTATACTTGTGAGTGTATGATAGAGTAAAAACAAAAATTGTACAGTTACTTAGATTTTTGTATTATGTTCCAAATGGCAAAGTAAGCCCCCAGAGAAAAAAAAGAAAAGAAAAAACACGACTATTATACCTTCAGAGAAATGAACGATATTGTATATCAACTAAATGATGAGTGGTGCTTGCTGTGTGGGGTAAGTGTTGTTTGTGAATCGTGAAGAAGAATGATAAACTACTACAAAGTCAGTATAACTAAAGACCAACTAAACAGTGCAAAAACACTGCGCAACTTTGTGTGTGGAAGCTAAAAGTTGCTGCTTCGTGTGAGAAAAACCAACCGAATGAAAAAGGTTGCTGCTTTTGTACATCCTGTTGTGTTTTTGTGACAATAAAGGTGACCCTCTTATAAACGACGAGTGTCGGCGCCTCATTTATTTGACTCGGGCAGCTCATCCTTAATAATGAATGATAAATGTATTACCGTGTAACGATGAGAGGAACCGCTTTAATCTTGTTGATTCTGGAGCCTTCCCTCTGGACAAATAAAGGTCTCAGATTAGTTTAAACACTAACCAAATATGCGCTCGGTTAAACCTGAGCTGCGGTGTGATGAGGTCGGATCAACTTTCATTTAGATTAGATGAAAGTTTAATGAATTATGAAGGGAAGCCGAGCGTAATGAAGAAGATTAACAAAGAGAAGGTGTAAGCCTCTAAACATGCTGGTATTTATGTGGCTAGAGTCATCTGAAGGTGCTTTACTAGTTCATACATAGTACAAAAGAATTTGGAAAACCATGAAAAGTTTTATTTATTTCACAATTTCAATTAAAAAGGCAAACTTTCACATTTACTCATATATTGTGTAAATCCCCCTTTTTGCTTTACTTTGAATGATGGTGGTTTATAGGTTAGGAAAAATCTGAAATCCAGGCATCAAGTTATTAGAATCCATCAAAAAAGGATATGTAATTGTAGAATGTTTAGCTGATTTTAGGGTTTAGAAATGTGTTAACATAGAATGTAGAACTATTGTAGAGACACTGCCCTCAATATAATAAAGGCCTCACTGTGTCGTGAACTTAGGAGTAGATTGTAGGAGACCCCTCCCCCACTTGAACTGTGAGAGTAAAACAGAGAGGAGTTAATGCTGAGTGGAATTTCCCCAGAGGATGTTTGGGTGGGGGTCTCAACATTTGTAACTGGATAACTGTCGTCTGGAAGAGAGATGGGTTTTATGACCTAGGGAGTCACCTACACCCACAGTGTTTTAACTGTCACGCACACACATCCACACGCACACTCACTCATGTGCACTCATACATACACACAGGTATGCATACACAGTCACACACGAGCACTCACATAGACACGCGGAATGCGCACATGTAGGCATTCATGTGCTCGTGCACATAGACACAGACAGAGTTTGCAGCACACCGTGGGGGGTTTTATGATAGGGTCGCCTCTATAAAGCTGGCTGTAACTAACAAAGGGGTGAAGATTTGCAGAGGGACACGGGCCTCGTCTTCCCTTCTACAAGTGCATGCATAAATGAAGATGAATAAAGGTTTTGTGAAATGACTACTGAGTCCCGGTGCCGTCTCTGGAAGTTTTTACGAATAAAAGAACCGGGGTAAAACTGATTTCTCAAACGTCCAACTTATGAAGAGCATGTCTGTATTTTAAGGTTGGCTGTTTCTAATCTTCCAGGTCCAGTCTGACAACAGTCAGCAAACCGTTTTCTAGTTATTCGACAATATATGGAGGCGCTAAGTCCTGCCAGACAAGTTATCAGCAAACGGAAC